TCCATTCTTGTATCTTTTATAGGCTTCTGCCCGAACGCGCGCAGTTCATTTCCAGCCACCTCCAGTCGACCGACCTTTTGGATCTCCCGTTCCCCAACGGCCGCCGCGTCTCTTCTCCTGATTTCTACCATCATCCCTCCCTGTCGCTCGATTTGCTTGTCCAAACAACACCGCGTGTTTTTACGGTCGTTTTGAGCGGAGCCGAGTGTTTTGGTGGTAAATCACTCATTGAGATCTGATCCCGGCGGTAGATCGTGGCCATCGAATCTGGACACTGGTCTAAGACATTTCTAAACCGAGTGTCATACCCGTCGACTGGTCCAATTATAACGGATTACGCACAGCTTCTCACGATTTTGCACCTCCTTTGCCCTGCTCTTGGCCTTTTGTGATCGTTAGAGCATACGTATTCTTCCGGAAGCAGTCCTCGCCGACCCCCGCCACGAGCACATCCATACCGCGCAGCGACCCATCGCGTATTCGAGTATCCTCATACCTATACGCAGGATTGTTTACCGCCTTCTCACCCAGGGCTCCGGCGGTTTATCGCTTCACTTCTCTCCGTCACCCTAATAATCGGACTGGCATATGATTCGCACGAATCGGCTCTTTGACTAAACAACAGTTTGGCCATCCCGACGAATACCACCATCCTTCGTTATCATCTTCAAGTGCGCTAAGTTTTAGGTGTCCGCCTTTGTTGAGGTGGAGGGATATAATACATAATGTTACCCGTTTCACGACCCGAGGGCCACATGAACCTCAATTATATTCCAACTACCCAACCGATGTCGGGAACCAGCACGGGGCGCAGCTCTCCTAGCGATCTATCGGGGTCTGCTGGTATGAAGCCACCGTTCGGATCATCAACCGGCCTGAATGGCGCTGCAGGCTCCATTGGAAGTGCGAGGCTAGGGGCTGGATCCCCATCCCATGAACTCGGTGCACGACTATACTCGAAACGGTAGGCAATTCCTACGGCCGCGATGAAGTAGCGTTGTATTTGAATGTCCGATGACTGACATTAGCCACTCTTCATTCTAGCGCACGTGAAATTCAAGCAGAGGAAGGTGTTTCTCCCAGTATCTGGGGACCCCCAACCAGTGGCCATTCGACCCCCCTGCGCGAGAATATCCCCGAGTCCCCAAGCCAAGAAGGATTTCCCGACTTGGTGCCCACCTCAGGCGGCTCGATCAATAGCACTGCCCGAAGAGCCAGAGCTGGGACCGTTCCGTCGAGATTCTCTCCCGTCGGTGCGCTGAACGAAGCGAATCTTCAACAACCATACATTCCCCAGACCTCAAGGCCTACGCCTTCGACCAGCCCTTTCCGTCCATCCGGGGTTACTGGTATTGACACAGGCGCAAAGACTGCAACTACCGCAGGCGGCAATAGCGCAGGCTCCCTCTCGCGTCTCCGAGCTGGCTCTATGCCCCAGCGAGCAAATTTCCTCGGAACTTCTGGTCCATTCGGGCCGTCTCTGTTTTCAACTAGCTGGGCAACAGGCCGTGACCGGGCTACGACACTTACAAGCATCCGATCCTCTGAGGGCCCGGCTTCCCCAAGTCATTCCTCCTTCTCTCGAGACGGTCTCGCCGATACTGATGTCAAAACCCTGGACTATTTGGGCCTTGCCGAAACCCCGCAACAGCCGCGAGCAACACTTGTGCGGCCCTCGGTTGACATGCTTCTCCAACAGCAGCAGCAACAACAGCAGCAGTCTTCGCTTCCTCCGCTGCTTGCGGAACTGGCGATGATGAAGAACAACAGCAGAATTCGTTCCTACTCCGTGAATGCCAAGGAAAAGTATGCGGATGACGAAGACTTGGAATATGAGAGCCGATATGCACAAATCCCGTCAGGGACCGTCACGCCTTCAGCCGCCGCGACAGCTGCTCAGCTAGCTGCAACCCAGGCTCAGATACATCAACACAACCTGGCTGTGCAGGCCTTTGCCAATCACGCATCTGCCAGCCGCCCTCGTGCACGGACAGCTGGAATCCTGGAAGCGCCGCCTCAGCGTTCGTCTATTCGCAACTACCTGGCTACGCCATCGCGTCTGGAAAACAGCTTCAGTGCGGCTGATCTCAACATTGCGGAAAGCGGAGAATACGATGAACTGTCCGAAGCTGTACAGCTGATGCATCTGGGTGGCAATAATGCTTCCAATCTCGGCATGCGGCCTGCGGCGGAAATGGCTGATGAGAACAATCAGGATGGGCCGACTCGCGCACTATGGATTGGAAGCATCCCTGTTTCAACTACGGTCACATCTCTTGAAGCGATCTTCAGCATTTACGGCAAAATTGAGTCCACCCGTGTGCTGACCCACAAGAATTGCGGTTTCGTCAACTTCGAGCGTATTGAAAGCGCTATCCAGGCCAAGTCTTTGCTTAACGGCAAGGAGATCTTCCCTGGTGCTGGCCCAGTTCGTATCGGATATGCTAAGGTTCCCGGGAGCTCTGCAAGTGGCACCCCAGGTGTCAATGGATCTCAGTCCTCGCCCACCCCGGATCCGAATGCAGGCATGAATGGGCCCGATGGTCTGGCCAGATCCGACGGCGGGCTCATTGTCCCTCAAATCCCAGCTCTTTCGGAGCTCCAACCAGAGATGGCTCAGATCGTTCAAGAGTTTGGTGCTGCTGAAGATGATACTCTGAACATCTCTGCTAGTGTTCAACGTGCCATTTCGTTTGATGCGTTTGAGGACGAGATCCCTTCGGTTGCCGAACCCAGCCAGACAAGGATGTTTGATGCCCCTCGCCTCCGCGATATCCGCAAGAGGATCGACAATGGTGCTTGTTCAGTGCAGGAAATCGAAGAGACCGCAGTTGCGATGCTTCCAGAGATTGCTGAATTGGCGTCGGACTATCTGGGCAACACCGTGGTTCAAAAGCTTTTCGAGTTCTGTTCCGAATCAACCAAGGAACAGATGCTGGCGCCGATCGCTCCCCACCTCGCTGAAATTGGTATTCATAAGAACGGCACTTGGGCGGCCCAGAAGATCATTGATGTCGCTAAGACTCCAAATCAGATGGGGTTGATCGTTGATGCTCTCCGGCCATACACCGTACCTCTATTCCTTGATCAGTATGGAAACTACGTACTGCAGTGCTGCCTACGCTTCGGTGCCCCGTTCAACGACTTCATTTTCGAGACTATGCTAAGTCGGATGTGGGAGATTGCCCAGGGGCGATTCGGTGCTCGGGCTATGCGGGCTTGTCTTGAGAGTCATCATGCCACTAAGGACCAGCAGCGTATGCTCGCCGCGGCCATCGCCCTTCACAGTGTGCAACTTGCAACGAATGCCAACGGTGCCCTTTTGCTCACTTGGTTCCTCGATACGTGCACGTTCCCTCACCGCCGTACTGTGCTTGCACCTAGACTGGTTCCTCATCTCGTCCATCTCTGCACCCATAAGGTCGCTTATCTTACCGTCTTGAAGGTTATCAATCAGCGAAATGAACCCGAGGCCCGTGAGATTGTGCTGAAGGCCTTGTTCTTCAGCCAGGGTGACGAGGTGTTGGAAAGAATTCTGAGTGACCAAACTTCGGGAGCGACTCTGATTTTCAAGGTTCTTACTACACCTTTCTTTGACGAGTCAATGCGCGCCGAGGTTGTCAAGAATGTTTCCAAGGTTCTTATCAAACTTAAGGCAACCCCCAGTCAAGGATATAAACGCCTGATGGACGAAGTTGGTCTATCTTCGCGTGGAAATGCTCGGGACAATCACCACGGACGTGATCACGGATCTAATGCGGACAAGCAACAACACCGTCCAACCTCTCGCCAGGCAGCCTCGAACTACGCTCCACAGCCGCCTTTGGAGAGGCAATACAGCGCGCCATTCCCTACTATGCTTAACCAGAGCATGGACGCTACCAGGCCTATGCCTTCGGAACAACAACCCAGTGTCGGAGCTTACGACCCTTACAGCATGAATGGAATGAACAGCCTTGGTTCTGCCGGTGGTATCAACCCTCTTAGCGGGATTGGAGGGGTAAACGCACCTGGATTTGGCCAAGACCCCATGATGCCTTTGGCTCAGCAACAGCTACAGTATCAGGCCTATCTGGCGGCGCAAAGTCGTGGCCTTTCGCCGTCCGGGCTGTATCCAAGTCTCGGAAACTCCAACTTTGGGTTTGCGGGTGGCGCTCCTTCAGCAGATAACCTCCGATCCTTGCAGACTCAGGCTGCTTCCTTGGCAGGGCCTCCCACCCAGCAAATTAACCCAGGCTCGATGTTGAATCAGGCGGCTTTCGCTCCTCAGCAATTCAGCCCCGTCATGAGCACTGCTCAAATGTACCAGTACCCTTCACAGTTCTATGCCCAAGCACAGCCAGCTCAGGCGCAGTCTGCCGGGGGCCGGCGTGGACGCCCAAGCCATCCCCAGCACATGTGAAAGCCCGGGACTCGCCTGTGCGAATGAAGCTGATGTGGGGTTGCCTCCAGCATTGAGGATTCCCTAAGATGCTTTAATCCGCCATTAACTTCAACCTTATGTATAAAGTTTTTCTTTTTCTTTTTTGCTTGATCTTTCGTTTGCAGTTTCCGGGATACAGAGTAGTATGGCTATATGCATGAAATGACCTTTGTCACACCTAGACCGACGCTGGATCGTCTTGGAAATGGAGGAAGGACTGATATGAGAAAAAAGTGTTATTGTTTATTGTTTATCGAAAGCATCGTGGTGTCGCCTATGTCCATAAGCATCTAAGTGATTTCCCGCCAACCGCCTTGGGGAGTTTGGCTCTATCTCCTGTTCACTATAGTCTACATTAGGTATCAAAGCAGAGAGCGTCTTGCGATCTTTCAATCTTCCCTCAATGCCTCTTGTGTTCACAGGTTGTATTTTGTACATGCGTGGTTGAAGGGGCCTAATTGAGCTACAATGAAGATGAAATCCAAGCTATTTTTGGCTGGGCCGCCGCGCGGGTAATAATCGTGTAAGTAACCTAGTAGTTCTTGTTGGGGAAGCGAAAATTACTGCAGCGTGATCCAACCAACCAATTGCTCGACTCCATACTATACTATACTATACCTACGTACGAGTATGATAGCACCGTCACCATCAGCTATACTCTATCAAGACCCTCAGGCCACGACCTTCTTGATCGATATTCCTTCATCAATCGCTCGCGCGCAGTCACTCTCCCCGTTTCAATCATCAGCGCTCTTGCCCTCCGCAAGATCGCCTTCTGTTCTCGAAAATGACAGGAATCGAAGACTTCTCTCAACGCCACCACTGAGGGTGCCCTATCCGACTCGTACGGAGCCGAAAACTGATGCGGCCCGGGCAAGAGTCCTTGAAAGAACCCCTCTTGCAGAGAGGCTTCTGCATTCCGAAATCCTTGAACCCCTGGTAACGAAGGGGTTATTCCAGATACGGAGTGCGCTCGACTCGGGGTTTCAATGGTGTCTTCCGCGGGTTGAAATAGATCCCAGCGCTCAGGACTCACCTCGCAATGGGGACATTGGTGACGGAGCTCCCCTCCCAAAGAAGAGGAAGGGGACCGCCGGGCGAACACGCTGCTCTAGCCACGGGAATGTGGACGCTGCGATGGAGCCGATCGCCTCTGCTTCTGCTGCCTTCACTGCGCCATGCGCCTCGCTCAATCCCCCGTTGATATTGTCTCCCGGCGTGAACCGCTTCAGCTGCATGTCCGAACTCTCCAGCATCGTGGTCCGGAATACGTCGTTGGCATCAGCCACGGTGCACGCTACCTGTACGGGGGATCAGGAGAAAGCAGCGGACGATACGCGATGCTGTCACAGTGGACCTCATCCCCTATCACCACGCCCTGTTCCTCACTCTTTCTACATTCCGCCGCTCTCGAGCTTCCTCCAAGACAGAATCCCGATCTCATCAACCCCCGTCACGCACGCAGAGACCCCCATCCCAGGTCTCCCTCGCCACCGGAAGTTCAACCTCATCCTGCTTGACCCACCCTGGGCCAACCGCTCGGTCCGTCGCAGCGGTCATTACCACACTCAGACCTACCTCGACTGGGAACTGCTCACCCAGCGCATTCGCAATGTCCTGTCCGTCCATCTGGTCCAGGAGTCTTCCTCATTCAATAAGGAGGTAGAAACCGCTGAACAGCGAAGCGACAGCAGGCGCAGGAGCGCCATCGCAGCCATCTGGATCACGAACTCATCGAAAGCCCGCAAGACGGCCTACGACGCGATGCAGGGGGCCGGGCTGACGGTCTGCGAAGAGTGGGTGTGGGTGAAGACGACGACGGAGGGCGAGCCCATCACGCCGGTGGGTGCGCTCTGGCGGAAGCCTTATGAGATCTTGGTGATCGGAAAGAAGGGGTCATTTGCCTCTCGGGACGACGACGGCCATCCCGCAGCAAAAGCCGGCGAGGATGGCATCACGCGAAGAGTGATTGCGGCGGTGCCGGATGTTCATTCGCGAAAGCCGAATTTGCGCGAGGTCTTTGAGCAGGTGTTTTTCTATGACAGCAGTCCTCGAGACAATGCCGAAATGCGATATACGGCTTTGGAGGTATTTGCTCGCAATCTCACGGCGGGATGGTGGGCGGTTGGGGATGAAGCTCTGAAGTTCAATGCAGAGGAATGGTGGGTTGAGGGTTGACCGAACGAACCGAACGATACAGCATAGGATGAATTTGATCTTCCAGGTAGTGGCTCAATCTGTGCGTTTCTTATCGAGGGGTTGGATATCTATCTACGGCTCATCCTTCCAGTAGCCATTGCCAATTACCCCATGACCCAGTGACCCAGTGTATATGTGAACGAGGTTTTAGGGACCACCACTTGACGACAACAAGCTACTTCCCCATTTGCCCACCCATGTATATTCCCGATTCCAAAAAAAAAAAAAAAAAAAAAAAAAAGGCAAGAAACAAACAGACCAACCCCTCCTCAACCCCCTCCAAATCTTATCCTCGCAATCAATCAAAACTCGGCCCCAAACTCACCAAACTAAACCTCAAATCCGGATTCCCGCCCTGGGCCTCGACTCTCAAGAACCGCCGCACCCCCAACTCCAACGCCCTCTCACTCAACGCATCCTCCCCGGGGCCCAGCACCCCGCGGTCGAGGGGCCCCTTCCGCCGCCCATCCAGCTCCCACAGCCGCCCGTCCGCGCCCTTCACGAACGCCACAAAGTGTAGATCGACATTGTCCTCCGCCTGCGGGGCCTGCGTGTCGCCCCGCTTGGCGGCGTCCGCGTGCGCGCTCTCCAGCGCCGTGCTCTCGTACAGCAGATCCGCCCGGCGCACGGGGTCCAGCCCCTCCGCTTCTTGCAGCAGGGCATCGAGATCCGACCCCGGCAGGACCTGCCGCCGCGGCTCGCCGTTGGCGACGGCGTGCAGCAGGCCGATCAGCCCGCACGCGTTGCGGATGGTCTGCTTGAACCACATCACGGGCTCCGTGGGGCCGGAGCCGGTGTAGGCCGGCAGGCTGCGGTCTTCGGTGAGGCGGGCCGTTTCGTAGGTCGCGGAGACCGGGAACACGAGGAGCAGGGCGTGCGAGGGCCGCGGCACGAAGGCGAGGAGGTCCGGTTCGTCGATCGAGTAGACGTCTGTGAAGGCGAGGGTTGCGGGCAGGCCCAGTTGGTGGATTAGGTGCGACATTACTTCCGGGTTGTTTTCTGGGGGGGGGGGAAGGGGAGGTTTGTGGTTAGCATCTCTTGGGATATAGGGGGTTTTAGGGTGAGTTGGCTGGTGTTGTTTCGAAAGAGAGGGTGTGTGTCTGTAGACGTACCGAGGGGCACGAAGGCCTTGTTGGTGGATTCCACGTCCGGGTTGTCGTCGGCCATTTTGAGGGTTATGGTGATTAGTCGATCTCGTTTGTTTGTTCTGGGTTTATGGCGAGTGCGAGTCTTGGTTTGGATGGGGGAGTAGAGAGTTGCGTGGGTGGGAGAGCGTTATGGAGAAGAGTAAAGTGAAGATGGTTTGTTTGGTTGGTGAGGGGTCGACTTGCGGTGTTGCGGGGTTGGGAACAGTCTCGGGGGCGGAGGCGGGCAAAACGTCATCGTGCAAATACAAATAAATAATTGGAGCATACTTAGTACTATGTTGGGTGCTGGAATTAACAAAAGAAGAAATTGTCATCATGTCATTTCTAGCTCATAAAATATCTAGTGTCGATCGATATGATCCTCTCATGCGGCCAGCGGCTTTTCCCCTCTCTTCAACGGTCCGTAGATGTTCGTCCACAGCTCGCTGGCTTCTCCCAGGAAGTAAGTCAGACTCACATCCGCCAGGCCTGCATCCTCGTCACCGGAGAGAGTTTCCAGCTGAGAGATGAGATTCTCCAATCCAAAGGCTTTCCCGGTGGCCTGTGTCGCGCCCGCTTCCAGCATGACGTTGACGACGTGGATATGGAAATGGTAGTATGTCGGCTGGTCTGCAGGTCAAGCGACAGGTGTTAGCAAACGTCGTTCAACAGAAAGTGAATGCAGAATAGCGGAAGAGTCCTCCCTCACAGTGCACATAAAGCTTCAACTGATCCTGCTCCAGCTCCGGATACATCTTCGCCGTGCCTTCGAGCAGCCGCTGCCGCAGATACTTCAACCACGGGATGTGTCTCTTCTTGAGATCGCGCAAGCTCCAGATATCCCTCCGCTGCACCAAGGCCAGCAAGTGCAACGACCCCATCGTCTTGCGGTCCCAATTCAAGTCCGGCAGCATCAGAAACCCATCATCGTTGGCATCGTCGTCGGCCGCCCCATCGTGGTGTCCCCCCTCATCCCGCAGGATCACATCCTCCTGCTCCGTCCGGCCCTCGAGGATGTTGAACACCCAGTTCAGCCGCCCTTCCTCGCGCTTGGCGCGCATGTACGGGCGGACGTGGTCGCGGTAGATCGCCGGCGTCTCCGTGACCATGCGAACCACCTGCTCCGAGTACTTCTTGATGTGGGATTCCGTGCACGGCCAGATGAGGTTCAGCTTGAGGTCTGGCGGCTGCTGCCCGCCGGCGTCCGGGCCGGACGACGCCAGATACCACCGGTAGATGTCGTTGTCGCCGAGGTTGGTGACGTGCGTGATCGCGGCGTGGAAGGCTCGGAGGACGGCGGGCGTCTCGGTTGCGAAGGCGGTGCGTTCGGCGGTCAGAATGCCCTGTTGGCCGTCGATGGCGCCGAGGATGGCGATGCGGCGGCCGCTTTGGTCTGTAGATCGGTTGGAGGTGGGTCAGTCAACAGTATGGGATCACGATACATTCAGGTTATCTGATGGTGCGTTTTGAAGAGAGGGCCGGAGTCCGCAGGTGAGGGGTTTGTAGAGTACCGTACCTTGCTTGAGCAACCTGTCGACCTCGAACTTGGAGATCAAAGCCTCCGGGGCAGGACGTTCCGTAGTACTGGCCATTGTGAGAAATGGCTTGCAGGAATGTCAGTATTGGGGTGTGGTTGTTAGGGAGGTCAATGTTGATGAGTCTACCCCAGATATTCTTCGTTGGGCAGAATTGTGTTGGCGGTGAACCTTATCAATTGCTCAGGGATCGTGTGCGGAGATGCATTGACTTGTACAGTGTACTCAGCCTTGGTTTTTTTTTTTTTTTTTTTTCTCAAATGTTTAGTCTCATAAGATACTCATTGTGGCATTTAGAGTTGTCTATCCAAAATGCGAATACATCCTTGGATATAGAATGAGTCTAAGGGGAAAAGGCCCATGCAACCTAACTATATATTCCTCATCCGTGATGCTCGTAGATGTGTGCGTTCCCTTCCCCCGAAAACAAGATCTATATTAGATATAATCCTGAGCTGCCCTCATTCCTGTCTCGGCCGTATGTCCCGGACTGCATCGTCTACACCGATGCCCACCGTCTATCGAGCCATATGCCCGCCATGCTTTCAATTTGCGCGCCCGCAGAATAGTGATTGAACCACGTCACGAACATGTCCGGGTTCACCCTGAGCCCAGGGTGAAGCATGCGGCCGTGAGAGAAGCTGGCGCTGCTGCGATGGGAGCTGATTCCGTTTGCCTGATGTTGGTAGGCGAAAATCCTTTCCAAGCTGGTATTCGAGGCGTCGCTCAAGAAGAAGGCTTCGGTTCACTGCTGGGCTGACCGTGCATCTTCAACATGATCTTTAGTATGGGCAGAAGATTGGCCAGAAACTGCATCCACACATACCGCTTCGGCCAGTTTAATCCACTCCTCCACCCCCTTCACGAAGGCATCGTCCGCCGCGGGTACCAACTCATGGCCCCAAACCATATACTCGTCGAAGGTTCCCTGCTTCTCGAGGATCTTGACCGGCTCCTCCGGCTGGACTTCCTCGACGTCGGCTTCGTCTTCATTGCGAGTAGGGGGCAAGACACGGTCTGTGCTTGTTGCGATGACGCCTAAAGATTTTATGGGTCGGCAAGTCAGGAAAGAAACCATTTCCGCGGGGTCTTTTGGTTTTCCGCACCTTCGTAGCCTTCTGGAATAGCGACCCGTCGACCCTTGAGCCTGCGGCCGCGGAAATATGCGATCTGTACGTCTTTCTCTGTTGAATATTCAGTATCATCGATGAGCGAGCGGATTGCGAGTACGAGGAGCTGGCTTGCGACTCTTACCTTTCTCGTCGGCTTGGGGTTCCCAATACCGGTTCAATGTTTTCACAAGCCCATCGTAGTGGATTTTGCAGGGAAGAATGTTGGGAGTGAACCGGTCCGTTGACGGTTGAGTTTCAGTCGCAGAGGACTTTGGCGCTGCTTGAATGGCGAACATGCTTGCTTTGTGGGAAAGGACTGTCAGGCGCTAATATAGTTTGTAGTGACTGGAGTTTGACAAAGTATAGAAAAAGCCTCAATACCAACTTTGACAATGGTAGAGAATTGTTTTTAGATAGCAATGTCTGATTGTCCCTTTTATCTTCTTCGAGGATGGTTGTATGCTCGACCCCGGAGAACGCGACGCGTTGCCCGCGTAAAGTGGGCGAACGGAGCGGAAGCGGAGTGTCTTTCCGTTGCCAGTCCACCCGAGTTCATTTGTTTAGACTACCATAGCATCCCCAGGCCGTATTACTAGGAGAGAATAACATGTAGTAGGTATAGTTTGTTTATATTCTATATACTCAGAAAAGCCTCAGATGTTGAGTAGCTTTGTAACTTAATCAAGCTGGGGTATATTTAAGACAGATAGATCTTGCCGACTCATCAAGACATTGTTGAAATCACCTCTTACGGGTCTTCTTCTTCTTCTTTTTCTTCTTCTTCTGATCGTCACCCGGTTCCTTCTCGACTACCACGCGCACTGGCCACTTCTTCAGATGTTCTCGTTCGAATGTGTCCTTGTCCCGCCGGTAAAGGAGCATTGTGGCCTTCGCATCCTCAACACTAGAGTGGGCACCATCTTGGATATTCAAGCCCAAGAACTCGGAAGCCAGCATCTTCAGACGAGGGGAGCCTCCGCCAGCTATCTTTCGGTAGGGCTGGTGTTTGCTGGTGTCTCGGATATCACGCTTGGGGTGGCTCAGCAGCAGAGCATCCAAGTCGTTGCTCACCGCGTGTCCCACGAGTATGCGTCCACTAAGAATTTCCGTAACCTCTTGTTGAACCTGCTCGAGCGACCGCGCATTGGTCATATGTTTCGGAAGTATACCGCTGACATGCGTCCGCCAGTCCGTGACCATCTCCTTGGGTCGGACATACGAGTCGTAAATCTGCTCGCCGTTGAAGTTGACAATACTGACACGCGCAAGGGCCGAGTCGTTATCCGGGTTGGGGCCGACGCCCACCATTTCGCAATCCATCGCAACGTATTTTCCTAGCTCAGCACTAGTCTACAGTCAGCAACCGGGTCCAAGGCGAGCCACAACGGCAAAGAAGATCAACAAAGTGGTAGCTGACGTTGGTGAACGGCCTTCATTGACCTTGGAAGTTTTCGATTCCACGACCGACGCGGCGGCGGAATTCCTCCGCGACGTTGGCTTTGAGCTGTCTGATACGGTGGCCTCTGGACCTCCATCTTGGGTGCTTTGCGACATGTTTCTCTTCTTGACGGGGGCCTTTTTCCGTTCGATCTTCGGTTTCCCGTCGGCTGCGTCGGTTCGGCGTTTTTTCACTGTAGCATTTTGCGTCTCGCGGTCCGAGATCTTGCGCTTGGTGGCGGAGGAGGAGGAGGAGGAGGAGGAGGAGGCGTGGCTTTGCTTTAACGTCCCCTGGAGTTTCTTCCAATTACTGGAGAGGTTTTTCAAGTCCATTCCAAAATCAGACCAAGTCGCTATTGCATTGTGGTCTGGTCAGGATGGCAGAGAGGGAGGGGATCCGGAAACAAAAAAAAAGATTCAGTTGCTGCGGAGGCAGACTAGGCTGGCCCGGCAACTTTCCTGAACCGGCCTTCCCTCCCGCACTAAATTTTCGGAACAGGATCCACATGTCAGTTCTCGATCGCTGTTGCAGGGGCTTATCGATATTGAGTCCCATATCAGCCAGCCCACCAGGATTCCAAAAAGTAGGGTACGTATCTACTCAATTGCTTATAAAATCTCTATGATCAAGTGTGATGATGGCATATACAGAATTCTCGTTGTAGCTTTGACCCATATTATGTGAAATTGCTTTTAAAATCCACCGCATGAAAACGCCAAAAAAGGGAATCTATTTACAAGCCTGGAACCTGGAAGTCCTTGTGGGACCATTTCACCGTAATCTCCCTCTTGGGCTTCTTGACCTGTGTCACTGGTTTGCGAGCCTCCAGCTTGCCCTGAACAACCAAGGTCCGGAATCGGTCATCGAGCAAGTTGCCCTCGGGTTTGAGCAAACGCAACGAGTCTTGAAGCTCATCCGGTAGCACGACCTCCAAACGCTTCTCGGGAGCACTGTTATCGAGTCAGTAAGCAGAAGGTAACGGGAAAAGGGAGATTTGCGACATACCGTAGCTTTCCGAGAGGTCTGCGGCGCAGAACAGTATCATCACCTTCCTCGTCCGAAGAAGAGCTGTCTTCCGACTGCTCGGCAAGCTCAAGCTCCTTTGCTTCGATTTCTTCGGGAGTAAGATTGGCACGTGCATATTGCTCTTGTCTCTTCTTCATCTGAGCCTCCCACTTCGCTTGCCGCTCGGCTTCCTTGCGTCTCTTGATCCTGTTCCTTTCGGTCTTGGTCTTCCGTTGCGGACGCTTCTTGTTCAGCCACTCAGGCTTCTCGTATTCGCTCTCAAAGCCCTCCCAAGCACTCTCGTCATCCGACCTTACCGCACCGTCGTCGTCTTTAGCCTCTGCGATCATCCGTTGTCTTTCTTCTTCCTTGCGCTCTTCCTCCAGGCGCTTCTTCTCATCCTCGACTGCCTTCTGGCCGTGCTCTTGTAGAAGCTTGTCCCAGTCTTCAAATGTGGGGTTGTAACTCGTTCCGGCAGTCGGGGCGCGAACTGCGGGGATCGGCTTGCCGTTCGCAGCGAGGGAGATAGGAGCGTGCTTCAAGGTAACGGGTTCGACCTTCTGCTTGGGCTTTTCCAGGAAGTCGAATTTAGGGTCCTCGTAGCGAGTAGTGTCCTCCGCATCGGCCCAGGGGTCGTACAACTCGGTCTCGGTCTTGTTGGTGGGTTTGCCTTCCTTGGCCACCTGCTTCAAGCGCAGCCAATCCTTCCGGGTAACCCAATCGGCCTTCTGTCTCTTGTTCTTCGGCTCGAGAACCCCATCAGTGACCTTCGAATTCGTCCGTGTGCGTGTGTCCACAGCAGGAATCGCAGAGCGCTGTGCGATGATCTCCTCCGACCTCAGAAGCTTGCGCTTCTTCTGAATTGCCTTGCGGACCTCCGCTGAACCAGTGGTATCAATTACGAACAGCTCCTCCGAGGGCTTCTCCGCAATAACACCTCTAGATGTTAATGGAACGTTAGCGAGACTCCAAATAAAACCGAAAAGAAAACCTGATAAGATTCCCGTACCCTTTAATCTCTTCATCTTTCAAGAGGCGGAGGCCTTCCTGAACCTCCGTGATGTCAACATTTTTGCGCCAGGCCTTCTTGCCCTTGCGGGATGGCTGGCTGAATTGCCTGGGGGCCTCAGTGGAAGCAGACATCGTGTGTGAATTCTGCTACGGAGATAATGACTTTGTGAAATCTTATCTTTTTTGCGGCATCCTAAATTTTGATTTTCCGACCAAAAATCTGGACCCGCTTACATAAGATCGCGCGGGGAGGAGCAAACGCTAGGCCAGTTGTCGCGCGCTAAGGCTCTGCGCGGCTATCGCGGGCAAAGTGACGAACGCCCGCCTCAAGACTTGATCTCTCGCACTGCACCGCGTTGATTCCCCGTCGGCATTACCCAGCGTGGACATCAGTGTTCCACTTGTCATTCACCCTGCGCATCATTTTGAGGCCATTTCCAGATTTCTTTTGTTATTGTATCTCCCTTGGCTCGCTCCTGTGAGCCGCCGGACTCTGAACAGCCATGCCCGTCGTCAAAGGAGGTGTCTGGTGAGAGCCATTGCTACATTACTTCTTGTCGCCGGACCCCCAGCTAACGCACTACCTAGGACCAACATTGAAGATGAGGTGCTTCGTGCGGCGGTAAGCTTTCCCTTTTCCGATCGATAGACGTGGTGCTGCGGAGCTCTAAGCAATGCTAATGTACCACTTCCTTAGGTGTCCAAGTATGGTATGAACCAGTGGGCTCGCGTATCCTCTCTCTTAGCACGAAAGACACCCAAGCAATGCAAGGCGCGGTGGGTGGAATGGCTGGACCCTGGTATCCGCAAGGTCGAATGGTCTAGGGAGGAGGATGAGAAGCTGCTGCATCTGGCCAAGCTGATGCCCACACAATGGCGTACAATTGCGCCCATTGTAGGGCGAACGGCAACGCAATGCTTGGAGCGCTATCAGAAGCTGCTGGATGAGGCTGAAGCTCGAGAGAACGATGAGCTAGGCCTGGGAGGTCCTTCCGGTGCAGAGGCGGCTGCCCCCAGTGCGGATGACGTCCGCCGACTACGGTATGATTCTGTGACCATCTCCTAACATAATGATCCTGCAGTGCAAGTTGCTGACTTTTGTTAGGCCCGGTGAACTGGATCCCGACCCGGAATCGAAACCCGCTCGGCCCGATACGATCGACCTTGACGAAGATGAGAAGGAGATGCTGAGTGAAGCGCGTGCTCGTCTAGCAAACACACAGGGAAAGAAGGCCAAGCGGAAGGCCAGAGAACGACAACTGGAAGAGTCGCGACGATTGGCGGTCCTTCAAAAACGACGTGAGCTCAAAAATGCTGGCATTAATATCAAGGTCGTTACTCGCAAGAAGGGCGAAATGGACTACAACGCCGACATTCCCTTTGAGAAGCCTGCGGCACCTGGCTTCTACGATACCACAGATGAACAAGGTCGAAACGAGAGGCAGCGGGAGATGTTCGATCCTCGCAAGCAACAACTAGCGAATAAACGAAAGGGTGACCAGGACGAAGACGCGGAACGGAAGAAACGGAAGAACGACAAGAATAGCAACTCCGCCGCATTCGCAGCTGCCGCTCGCGCTGGCCAGATGCAGAAGATCAGGGAGGCTGAGCAGAGCAGCAAGCGGAGGGCGCTCGTGCTTCCGAGCCCCCAGGTCAGCGAGGGTGAGATGGAAGACATCATCAAGATGGGCATGGCGGGTGATAGGGCCAGTAAGATGGCAGGCGATGAGGAGGGAGCTCGAGGCCTACTCGGTAACTACAATGCGATTGTTGGTGGGACGCCTATCAGGACACCCAGAGCACCCCCGCAGGAGGATCACATCGCAAACGAAATTCGAAACATCAAGGCTCTCACCGAAACTCAATCGTCTCTGTTAGGTGGTGAGAATACTCCCCTTCACGAAGGCGGGGCCACTACTGGATTCGATGGAATTGCCCCTCGCCGCCAGGAAATCGTTACCCCCAACCCTATGGCTACCCCATTCCGACAAGGCAACGGCGTCGGCGCTACACCTATGCGCGGTGGCATCGGACCCGGCGCTACTCCGCTGCGGACACCTCGAGATCATTTTGCGCTCAATCAGGCAGAGGCCGGGCAGCTTATTGGCAGTACCCCCCGCGATATCAAGATGTACGAGAAGAATGCACGTCAGACTATTCGCGGCAAGCTCGCTGCGCTTCCCAAACCCAAAGAGACGGAGTGGGAGCTTGAAGAACTTCCCACAGAGTCCAATGAGCCCTCGGTAGCCGCTGAGGATACCGAAGAAGATGCGGCTGAACGTGATAGGAGAGAGAGAGAGGCGCGAGAACGTGCCGCCCAGGCCGAACTCAAACGTCAGACACAGGTATATCAGCGCGCCCTACCCCGACCAAGCGTTCTCGATATCGATGCGATGCTGGAACGGGTATCACATATCACGGATCCCATCTCTGGATTGATTGCCAAGGAAGCCGCTCTCTTGATCGCCCACGATGCCCGCAAATTCCCCGTTCCCGGCGCTAAAGTGGAGGGCAAGGCACGGAAACTGGAGCGACTTGACGACAGTTTGATTGAGCAGGCCCGTGCAGCTGTCACGGCGGAAGCTTCGACATCCGGAAAACTCGAGGAGTGGCAAGAGAACTTTGATGAGCAGTGGTCAAACAAGCATTCTGATGTTCTACCTGGTCTTGCCAATTATACCGATGAGGAGGAAGACTTCTTCCAACAAGAGCAGCGCATGATCAGCGCTTTCGATAGCGAACAAGCCTCATTGCTGGCCACAGCTGAGCGAGGCAACAAGCTGGAGAAGAAGCTTGCATTACACTATGGTGGCTATCAGAACCGGGCGAAAACGCTTCGCACGAAGATCGTCGAAGCCAGCGATGCACTTCAAAGATCGAAAGATGAACTCGATGCTTTCCGAACTCTCCAGATCTCAGAGGATTCGGCGATCTCGCGAAGGCTGGAGAAGCTTCGTGATGATGTTGCTTTCGTCATGAGGAGAGAGCGCGAAGCGCAGGACCTCTACAAGAGCAGGAAGGACGAGCTGGATGAGCTGGTGACAGGCACTGGGGGTATGGTGAACGGCTGGCATTGAGGCCGCAACAAGGATACCTAGATTGACGTTTGACCTGGTTATTCGAAATTTAATCATGCCCTACATGTACGATTTGTATAGTATTTCCTCATTCTCCCCCGGAATGCGCGGAGCGATGGTGTCACTGGGCACACCATGGAATCGGTTACAGAAGTTGGTTTGCAGCACAAATATGCATAACAAAAAATGCTTATGTGCAGGCAATTTATGTTGCTTTAGATGCATTGTATATTCACACATGTTCAAAACGTAGCATCCCATAGCTCGGAGGCGAACCAAAGCAACGTTACGTACCGAAGCAGGCAAGCTGGGGATGAACCAAAAGCGGATGGCAAAAGTTCAAAGGCGGTCTCTTCCGGCGCATTCGCAACGGAGATTCCTCCCATCCCCTCCTATCAAACCCCTTCGCGTTCCATCACGAAACTCATGCCCTTGAGTCCTATCATCTAAGAACTTGTCTTGTATCGAAAGAATAATCGTCCCTCGAGCACCATGGGCGGCAGGGACGAAACCGGCACACCGGACCCCGTTGAGAAAGGGTTCGCCACCCTCAATACCATCCGGTAAGCGATCAAATAATTATTTGCCTGCTTGTTTTGAAGTTTTCGACGTTGATTTCCTCGGTCGGAAATACTGATCAGAGTGCTAGGATCGGTGTGAAAGCTATGGTACAGAAAGTCAGTTGTCGCAATTTCCCTGCGCTTCACTTTTCGCCAGCGGCCCATCATCACGTGATATGGCGATGGGCTGTATACTACAAGCCTCGACCGGCAACGTTAAGCTGACTTGCTTCCCCGTCTAGGATGGAGAGTTACGAAAAGCGGAAATCTTGTCTATAAAGCAGCGAAAAGACGGTCCTTCCTTTTAGTATGCTCGCTCTTTCCCTCCGCTGCACTTTGCATCTTGAGTCTCGTGCTGATAGCAGCTGCGCAGTGTCCATTATGTTGATTTCAACAAGCGTCTGGATGGTGAGTGTTCTGAGAACCTAGAGTGGATCCGCTCCTAAGTCCTGACATGACAACAGAGTGGATTGCCTCGTCGCGCATCGATCTGTCGCATGAGGTTGAATGGCCCCAGCCAGAGAAACCGGAGAAGAAGAAAGCCGGCCCCGGCAACAAAGCTCCGAGCAAGAACACGCAGAAACGCGCCCGAGCCGAGAGCCGCGACGTATCAGCGACCCCGGATCTCCTCACGGGGAAGAACGCCAACGTCGGCAAAGCCCAGCGTCCCTCGAAGGCAGGTGGGAAGGAGAACCGCGGCGATGAGACGCCGGCCAACCTCTCCATCGGCGGCGGCTCCGAGGCCGTCTCCGCGGACGGGACGCCCAAGCCGGAATCCGACGACGTGGACATGGTCGATGTCAGTTTCTCCAAGGATGTCAAGGAAGAGGAGAAAGCCCTGGGCCTCATGTCCCGCGAGGAGGAGATCGAACGGCTGCGGACCAGCGGCAGTATGACGCAGAACCCGACGGAGATCCACCGCGTGCGGAACTTGACGCGCCTGCAGATGGGCAAGTACGACGTGGAGCCGTGGTATTTCTCGCCCTACCCGGCTTCGTTTTCGGACGCGGACATCGTGTACATCGACGAGTTCTGCCTGGGGTACTTCGACAACAAGAGGTCGTTCGAGCGCCACCGCTCCAAGTGCACGCTGGTACACCCGCCCGGCAACGAGATCTACCGGGACGACTACATCTCCTTCTTCGAGGTCGACGGCCGCCGTCAGCGCACCTGGTGCCGCAACCTCTGTCTGCTCAGCAAGCTGTTCCTGGACCACAAGACGCTCTACTACGACGTCGACCCCTTTCTGTTCTACTGCATGTGCAGCCGCGACGAGACCGGCTGCCACCTGGTCGGCTACTTCTCGAAGGAGAAGGATTCCGCCGAGGGCTACAACCTGGCCTGTATCCTGACCCTGCCCCAGTACCAGCGTCGCGGCTACGGTCGTCTCTTGATCTCCTTCAGCTACGAGCTGAGCAAGCGAGAGGGCAAGCTGGGCTCGCCCGAGAAACCCCTCAGTGATCTGGGTCTGCTGGGCTACCGACAATACTGGCGAGAGACGCTCGTGGAGATCCTCATGGAGTCCGGACGGGAGAACATCAGCGAACACGACCTTTCCTTACAGACCTCCATGACCGAGAAAGATGTCCATGAAACCCTGGTCGTGTTCAACATGCTTAGATATCATGTACGTTTTCTGTCCCCTTCCTTCCCCCTTCATATCAGCAAGCCGGCCGGCCCACCTTCCGAAACCAACAACATACCCACTAACTCAATCATCTGCCTTACAGAAAAGCAACTGGGTCATAGTCCTCACCGACCAAGTGGTCGAAGAGCACAAGAAGCGTCTTGAAAAGGAGAAGCTCAAGGGGGCTCGTAAGATCGACCCCGCCCGCCTGCAATGGAAGCCGCCGGTCTTCACTGCTTCATCGCGCACGTGGAACTGGTAAGGTGGACGTGGTGCGGTGACCTTGCTATAAGGTTGCCTGCGTCAATGATCTAAGCAAGACCTCCTAGCTCGCAAGTTAAGCGAGGATTGATACCCCCTTCCCCCACTCTTCCTCCTTCCTTCAATTCTGGATTTATTCCCCAGGAGTTCGGTGCTGCCTTCAAAGATATTTGGCCTTTGTTTCTGTCCGGGGTGTTTTGGTGATCTCATGGTGTTGAGGAGGACACCGAGGAGTTTTTTTTCTTTCTTCTTCCCTCTCTCTTTTGTTCAGCCTTTTCTTTTCCTGGACGGTGTAAATTATGATCTTATATTCTCTGGAGCAAGGAACAGATGATGTTTCGCTGAATGCTCCAAAGCGTTCAATCAGTTAGGAAGTAGCAGTGGCTCATCCACACTGCCTAGATTTAAACAATCACATATACGAAGAGCATCTAGTGATAACCCAAGTAATAACCCAAGTAATGACCGTGTACTCTTCTACAAAGCATCTACAGTTCAGAAAACTTGGTCCCACCCTTCAATTTTAAATAGATATACAGTCCCTTCAGACTCACCACCATAAAGTGTTTGATATTGAAGATACCCCCAAAACATCTCTTCAAGTATCTAAGCCCTTTAATTTCCACATCAACGACCCTCTACGACCCAGGAACCACGAGTAGAACATTCTGTTAGGTATTGAGAATGGGAGCACACGTTCAGAGCGTGCGCGCGCACACACAAAAGCTAATTACACGCTTTCAGGAATCGGGGTACAAAAGAACAAAAAAGGGGCCCGCAGCTGCGCTCTACCTCTCTCTCTCTCTCCCGGTTTTCCTCTTTTTTTCCCCCTTTTCTCCTTTGCGTGCACAGTGCAATATGCAACCCAATTTTGCCATTGCACTTCAACGAGCTTGGGAAAGACCATGTCATGGAAGAATAACATGCCTGGGCGGGAAAACCTAGATAAAGGACATTTTTTCCCATGCAAGCAAGTCGTTTCAAACGAGTTTCAGGCTGGAGAGAAAGAGTATGAGAGCGGGTGAGAAGCGTGGGGGCAGAATATGGGTCGAATGTTAACATATGGATGGTGAGGGAGATAGATAATGGGTGAGTTGTTTGCGGACTCAACCCAGAGAACCATGAATGAGGTCGAGGGTTGGGAGATGATACAGGACAAAGAGTTGCGGAGAAGGTTGAAAATGAGAGAGGGAGGAAGACAGGGAGAGAGAGAGAAAGAGGAATGAAGAAATGGACATCCATGATTCATGCCAAATGGAATAATGGCAAGGGAGTGAGTGGTAGCAACCGCCGACGCATCTTGCCTTGAAAAGAAGCCGACATCCCATCTCGCGCCCGAAGATCAGTATGTTACTCTGAAATAGGTACTAACAAGGTATGGCGCCAGGGAATATTGCACGGGCAAAAGAAAAGGAAGATTAAAGGAGTACTAAGAATTCAGACCGAACCCAGACCGATCAACAAATCCCCCGCAGGCGTAGCTCATCAATACCGAAATGAACGCTCAATGAACATCTGGCAACCAGCAAAAGCCAGCGAAATTTTTTTCCAAAGAACCAGTTTAATGGGACCCACTGAATGTGCGGGGGCCCCAGGACGCATTTCGAGATTGACGTCGTGGAGAGCTGCCGCCATTCGTCTGCTGAGCTGAGGTGGGTTTTTTCGAGACTGATCCTCCGGGGGTCTCACGTGGCTTCGTATTCTTACGAGGTTTGTAGGTCGTGGAATTGCGCGGCCGGGAGTTGGGCGTTCCCAATTTCTTTGGAAGGGAGACAGTCTTCGCAACAATAGCGCCTGGAAGTCGAATCGTAGCGCGAGTATATCCGGAGGGGTCTCTGTCATGGAAACCAACCGAAAACGGCTCAATGCTATGGATTTGCATCGACTTCAAGTTCTTGGCTCGTAGCTTCGACTGCGTGGGAGGTAAAGCGGCTTGCCATGCTGCCGGAGGAGCGTGGGTTGGCACTCGAACAACTGGCAGAGACCCCGCTTCGCGATCTTCGAACATTTCCTCGGCTTCCTCTACCTGCTTTGCGGTTATCTCGCCGTCCCCGACTGTGAGCTCAACGTTGAAGGGCAGAGAAACCGAGACGGCAGCAATATGAAGTTGAACATCAAGAGGCTCCTTTGTCGCTGATGTGACCGCCAGAGCATTCTTCTTCTCCGGTACAGTCTTCTTGCCGAACAAAGTATTGATCTTTTCCTGCCAGGAAGTCGCTGTCGTACCATGTTGCGGGCCGGTGCGAGGGGGTGCAGCAACCATTGAGGCGAAAGTTGGCGGCGGGGGCGGCGGCGCGACGATCTTCGGGGGGAGCTTGACTATAGGCTTGGGTGCTGGGAGATGGACCAGTGGTCTGTTGCAATCACCTGTGTATACCGGATGGCTGGACATTTCTTCAGGCGGTGGTGGGGAAGGGCTTCGATAATACTCGGCTTCATCAGCCATTGGCTTCCGAGGAGTCTCCGTGGCCTGTGGGAAGAAGCGTGAACTACGCACTGGAACACTACCAAGAGGGCGTGCGTGCGTATCTGCAAAAGGAAGATTGCCAACAGGGTGATCGAGCCCCGGAAGAGGGTTTGCAAGTGGAGCGTTATTCTCGTTCGATCTCGAAATTCCAACCACCTGTCTCTGTCCAGCCTGGTCCCCGGTGCGGACTTGACGCCAGGTCTCATTGAATGTAACCTGAAGCGACGAAGGCCCTTGTGGGATTGCACTCATTTCGTGGCGAATCTTATCGTTCTCTTCTGCCTCACGCTTGGAAGCAACCGCATGGAAATTGTTCCAGGCTGCAGTACCAGTACCACGGTTCTCATGCTGACGATGTTGAGTATGTTGCGAACTGGGAGGACCGATGGGGCCGGGCCGCCCAATAGGATTGATGACCTCGTAAGGAACATGGCGAACCTCGGGAGATGGTAGAGGTGAGATCGACGTAGTTTCTTGCGGAGACCGCGCGGGTGCGGAGAAAGTTTGTGCTGGTGCAATGGGTGGTTGATCCAGACCTAGGTGACTGCGGAGCGAGATGTCTCGTGCTGGGAAACCCCCAAGGCCCTGTTCAAAGATTCCGTTCCCTAAAGTCTTATCACTGCTCAGAGGCTTCCAGGGGTTTGCAATTGGTGGGGCAGTGTTCACAAATTTCGGATTCGGCGACCACGGCAGATATGAGCTAGGAGGGTTGATATTGCCCCTCCACTGCGGGTTCTGCTCGTCAATCTTAGCATCTGGGAGTTGATCAGACGACGGAGCCGGGATATTGTTGCTCTGCTGCGTCCCGTTTGGCAAAGGCGCCTCTTGCTTGGGCTCACGAGCCGGGGAAGATGTGCGTCGCACACCAGCTGTGGCAACAGTTTTCTCCGTAGCTCTTTCCCTCTCGACGAGCTTCTTCACGGTGTCGGGATGGTGAACTTTCATCATTCCATACTGCTTCGGTTCCCCACTTGGCTCGGGAACAGGAGGTTTCGGAGGGGAATGTAGCACATGTGCGGTAGCTTGTTGAGCATTAGCTTCATTCTTTCCAGTGTCGACTGATTCTCTGCGTAGTGACTTTGGTTTCTCTGGTGGAGGACCGAGCGCCTCCAGCTTCTGCCGGATTCTTTCACGCTTTGCAGCTTCCTCTTCCTTCTCCTGATCAAGCCTCCGCTGGCGAGCTTCCATCCTTTTCTCCTTCATGATACGTTCTTGCATTGCTACAGGGTCTTCCTGAGGCGCCTGCGGCACTGTCGTCTGCTCATCGGCTGCCTGACTCACTTCGGCAGATGCAGTGATAGTTTTATCTTGAACATGCGTAGGACCCCGCGCAGAGTAAGGGCCAGCGCCACGTCGATCAGGAGAGATCTCACGATAAAGAATGTCTTTGGATGCCTCTCTAATGAAGACGGATGAATCAGGCATCCCATTGACTTGAGAGCCCCTTCTAGACTCGAATGCTTTGTGAACCACGTCAGGTCGACCTACCGACATCCGACGTCCAAAACTGCCGCTTCCACCACTGACATTGGAAGATGTTCGGCGGCGCGTCCAGTGCACACCATCTTGACCACTCGAACGATGCGTCTGGAATGCCGCGGAAGGCTCTGCCGGGCCAGTTTGATCGCCTTGTGCTGGTCTCTGAAGCACAGATGGCGTGCGGAAGGTTTGCTCAGCACGCCATGGCCCTTTCCTGGTGTCAGGAGCAGGCTCGTAACGACCCGATCTAGAGTTGTAAAGCTCGCGTGTTCCAGACTGCATTTCTCTCCAAGATCGGTTAAAATCATCGGCTGCAATCTCCTTGGGAGGCAATGCCCCGGTGAGACCATCGGCAACATGGGGCTCCCTGACGGGGACGCGCATAGGTGGTTGAACCTGCATTGAGGGCATCACGGGTGACACTTTCTCGACCGGGGGAAGAGGAGCCCAGGGTGACTTGGCCGGAGGTGGCGCCGGACTAGTCGATAGCAGGGGAGATTTGTCGTTTGGTCCCTTCGCGATGATACCAGCGCTCTTAGCTTGTCTTTCGGCGTTCGCTCCAAGTCGTAAGACAGTCGGGTTTGGACCAACTGACGTTATGGTTTTGGGAATATTTGGAACAGGCTTCGGGGGTTCTTTTGGAGGCGCAGCTTGCTCGACCAGAGGAAAATCCTTTTGGAAGTCTGCGACGGCCTTTTCTTGACTCGGTATCGGCGCTGTTGTGGGAGGCTCCGGGTGAGTAAGGTTCGTTTTCGTCCCGTCAGTCCATTCAATTGTCTCAGGGGCCCAGTCGTCTTCGTCGTCATCGATATCTGCCCATTTCGATTCCGTGCCCGCGCCGTCTTCTTGGATTCTAGAAGTCATGTGGATGCCATATTGTTGCTTCAGTTCCTCATCAGTAAGGTGTTTAGGGGGGGTCTGTTGAACCGCTGGATGCAAAACAGTGTTAGCAAAGGATTAATAACAGCATGTCGTACATTAAGCCTTACGTCGATTCTTATTCCAAACCTGATTTGGACCCGGTCCGCTGCCACCTGCTTTGGATGCGCTCATGCCTGATTTTGATAACGAGTCCCGTAGGCTGCTTGTGGACTTTACGACCAATCGGGGTCGTGAGGTCTGTTGCGGCGTTCCCAAGGGAGTTGTCAGAGTCGAGGAGGGGGCTGTGGGCCGTTAGAACATGGATTCGACAAACAAGCTTATTCGAGTTACCTTTCTCAGAGGGTTTGCTGATGGGAGGAGTGCCAGGCGCCTTGGGAACCGAAAATTTGGCAAAAGTGACCGGCTTAAATGACGTCGGCTTCTTTGAACCGGCACGCGCATGGAGTTTGCTCTCAGCCCGACTTGCGTCGGACTCAGAACCTCCTTGCGAAGCTGTGTCCTCCCCAATATCCGACCCAGAAGTTACACCATTCATTTCTAGCGCTCGTGCTGCGACCGGCACAGGAGCGTACTTCGAAGTGTCCTGGGTCTTATTCAGTATGATGTAGGTCGCGACACACGCCTCAAGTTAGGCCACTCACACTCGGCATTTGTTCAGAGTCCTCTCCTTTCCCGTGCTGACCTGATGATTCTGCTGCTGCACCCGTCTGGTATTCACCCTGTTGAGCGTTCGTCCCCGTTTCGGCTCGTATCGTTGTAGCGGTATCTTTCGTCTCCCCCGCGTCCCCTCCAACAGGTGTCTTGTCGGCGGTGCTCGCAGGAACGTCGGAAGGCGAAGGATCGCCGCCCGACAGGGTTTGGTTTACCACATCGTGGTTACTCTGCTCTGCCATAACAATTCTCGAGTCTGTGAGGCCAACAGGTTGCGACATCTGTTAGACAAGCGTTCTGAACAGGTAAATATGGAAACAAGAGGCGGCTGAGATCAGAAAGTCATGGATGCATGCAGAGGGATGGTCTGAGGATATACCTATTGTCAGGTATCAGAGATCGCCACGGTTGGACTTGCTAGCTCAACTGTTTGAGCCGTAAAAGCTCCGAACGACCAGGTGGACGGCGGAGAGGGGACCAAGATCAGAGGAATGGCTGGAAAGCCAGGGAAAGAGAGGAAGGCGCAGGAAGGGCAGGCGTTTGAGAGCTTGTAGAGTGAGAAGTGAAAGCCGCTGCCCAGGCAGACCCGTTAGGGGGGGGGAGGTTGCGATAGAGGAGGTGGTGATGCTTGTGAATGATCGGGTGATGGCTGCAGTCATTGACGGTGACTTGACGGGACGGTTCAGGTTGAGGCACTAGGGTGGCTGTTTTCGGTTAGCGCGGCCACCTCCCGCAAACCCTGTGGCTGGAGCCGCGTTGGAGCCTTTGTTGCCGCCCGCATCGAATCGATTCACTCTGTGCTACAACACCACCTTCAGCCCCCAGTGCCAGCAACTTACATCTCACACTGTTTGTGGTGATCGCGCTTTACCAGTCACATCGATGTCCACTGACAGCACCCCCTCACGAAGTTTGCATCGCACAGTATACAGGGATGCACTGGCCCATGTCGAGTTTCAAGTAGTTGCTTTACCACCACAACACCTACCAACCACCATTGACTCATTTGGGCAACCTAGACCTCATAACCTTGACAATGTTTCGCACTTGGAACCAGAAAAAACCTCTACCCAAGCGGTCAGATCCACCTGCAATATAATGTTTCGTTACGGTCGGAAGATGTTTTTGCAACAACAGCCGTCTTGCTGTCGGTGTTACTGGGCATTGACTGAAACTCTAGGTTTGAGTGAAGGCTTGTTTGAACTCCACAGTCTCTGCTGATTTTCCTTCTCTGTTCAGACCATACCCAAAGCCCAATCGGCCGCCGGCCTCATTACGTTGAAATTGTTTAGCGGGTCGACAGCAGATCGAATGGTGGCCCCTCATGACACATTGACACCGTACGCTATCAAAACATCAGTTAATCTGCATAATCACCGCAGATCATCAGCGCTTTGCTACTCTTGAAAGTATGAACCAAAGAGTCGACCTGCGATCACAAGGAGTTCATCCACAAGGAGTTCATCCACAAGGAGTTCATCCACAAGGAGTTCGTTCACCTGGGAAATATAATGGAGTCTTGCGTCCAATGCATGCGACCCAAGCCCATTTGGGAAGATGTTCAAAAACTGCATTCATTGCAGTATTCATATGATTTCGAATCATATGAGGATGGACATTACTCAGTACAAGGCATACGAGGGACAATGAGGTACCCGTAGAATGCTATGCAAAAGTGGGATGTCAAATTCGTAGTCGGATCAAATTCGATTCGATCGGCGATCCCAGGAGTCACACCTCATGATGTAGCCACGGCATAAACATACTAGACGTTGATAGCGTTAGGGTTCTGAATTATTAGAGCTCCACTACTCTAGCGTACATAAGGGCGATGGTGCGGCGAGATGCGGCGCCGATAGGAGACCCGGGGTGACATCACTGGTGCGAGGGTCACTGCCCTATGAACGATGGGTTTGATTGGGCTACAATGTAACTACATGGAACGGGATTGCCAGGTTCTAGATCTACAAGAGAATAGAGAGCGCAGACGATTGGAAAAGCTTTGCATGAGCCGCTGGCCTTACAGGGCGTATCGGTACAATGACTGAACATGCAGCGGTTCGGGTATCCCAGCACAAGATCGGACGTCGGCAATCCGACGGCTTGAACAAGTCGATATTGACCTCCAACAGAGAAGAACGTCGGAGATAGGTGCGGGGGTGTGGAAGTCGTGGGATCTCGTCTTGTAAGATGGCGGGGCGACCGCCAGCGGTCCTCATGAAGACGTGCGGAATAAACTCATGGCAGCTCGGTGACGGGCGGCGCAGGTTGTGTTGAAATGCTTTTGAACAAGGAAATGAAAATTTTGTTTTTTCTTTCATTCAGGGGAATCTATGCACAAGATCAAGGTGTGCTAGTACACCCGGGAACCCTGCTTCATCTCATCTTAATGCAAAGGTTTACCCCCAGATGTAAAACCCAGAAACACCAAACAACCGCAAACGACCAGATATCATTCGTTTAAATGTGGGTGTCGTAGGGGATGGGGGTGATGGTCTCGGGGGCGGAACCCTCAACGGTGTGAGCCTCGCGGGGGCCGACGGGCTGGCGCTTAAGGTGGAGGTGGACACCCTGCTCCTTGGCCTGGCGCTTCTTCTCGGCGTTCAGCTTGACGCGCTTGATGAAGTCCTCACGGGAGCGGGAGTGCTTGACGTGCTCGATGCGGACGTTGATGCGCTTCTCCATGTAGCGGTTGCCGACGACCTTGTAGAGGAGGACACCGACGGAAGACTTGGTGACGTTGTAGACAACACCGGTCTTTCCGTTGTAGACCTTGTAGGGCATACTATTCCAAATCTCAGCAAAAACCATTTCGACCATGTTGGCGGAAGGCAACCAAGCCAAGTCGTTCTGTTCGGACTCGTCACGGTTGTATCGGGCGGAATTGTACTGACCCCTTCTGAACGGCACCGTTAACCTTGACATCGACGATGTCACCAACCCTATATCAAAACTATCAGATCCTGCAAATCACGTATATACCGGTGTCTTCGGCGGAGGGGAAAAATCGGTCGTACCGGTAGGTCTTCAGGTAGGTCGACAGGGCGATCTGACCCTTCTCCTTGAAGTTGCGGCTGAAGGCATACTGAACGATAATTTGGTCAGCGCGTGCGTCCCGACCAGCGAAAATTGGCGATGCAAAAATCCTCCATATAGCGACATACCCGAGTACCGGCTCTCAAACCGTGCGAGTGACCCATTTCGGCGGTGTTGGTGGTGCTGGTGTTGAGAACTTGTCGACGTCGAAAAGTGCCTCACTCTGCCGCCCGTCGCGATGGTGTAGACTTGTTCGGGTAGTTAGTGTGCCCGTTCTCCGCCGCCGAGGGCTAGCCCTCGCACTAATCCGGATGCGGCTCCACCTTCGCTCGCTTAGTCTCCATCTCCAAAACGCTTCTTCCTCATCCTGAACGTCTACGATTCTCGTGAAGTTCGGTAGCACGACAAACATCGCGACAACGCGCAATCAGCAGTCATGGCCCCCGTCCCGTGAGTATACGGTCTACGATGAGATCTCGAGATGTCGCATTTTTTCTAACTCGAATTGCTGCGATGTAGCCGCGTTTACTCCAAGACCTACAAGGTCCCTCGTCGTCGTAAGTTCGCCTTATCAGTTTGGGATCGAAAAAAAATCTCGATATATATGGAAGTTGGTCATGTGCTAATGTTGAGATAGCTTTCGAGTCGGCCCGTCTGTTAGTACTCTCCGGCCACTGATCAGAAGCGTGCTTCTGTTTATGTCGTGTGTTCCTGTGTCTAATTATGCTATAGTGACTCGGAACTGAAGATTGTCGGCGAGTACGGCCTGCGCAACAAGCGTGAGGTGTGGCGTGTCCAGCTCACCCTGTCCAAGATCCGTCGTGCTGCTCGGTATGCGACCCACCACCCGATCATAATCTTCGAATGCGACCGTGCGACCCAACTCCGAACCAAGCGCTAACCATCACTTAGTGAGCTCCTCACCCTCGACGAGAAGGACCCCAAGCGTCTTTTCGAAGGTAATGCTTTGATTCGCCGTCTGGTCCGCATCGGTGTCCTCGATGAGTCCCGCATGAAGCTCGATTACGTCCTGGCCCTCCGTGTTGAGGACTTCTTGGAGCGTCGTCTTCAGACCTGCGTCTACAAGCTTGGCCTTGCCAAGTCCATCCACCACGCTCGTGTCCTGATCAAGCAGCGCCACATCCGGTATGCGACCATTACTTGATCTCCTCCCTGGACTTGCGCGCTAACTATCGTCAACAGTGTCGGCAAGCAGATCGTCAACGTTCCCTCCTTCATGGTCCGCCTCGACTCCCAGAAGCACATCGACTTCGCTCTCACCTCCCCCTACGGTGGTGGCCGCCCTGGCCGTGTCCAGCGCAAGAAGGCCGCTGCTGCTTCCGGCGGCGCCGGTGAGGAGGATGAAGAGGAGGAGTAAACGATTTAAAACTGGAGTACGGACGGGTTTCGTTAGCGAAATTAAAACTGCGGGGTTCCTTTATGGCTGCAGTATCGCGTATCACGTTGTACGGTCTTGCAATACCATGAATGAACAAATAGCCTTCGGCTCACTTTCGATGCCCTACTTTCTTCTCTGCGTATTTGCGCGTGTGTTGCCAATTTCATGCTTCTCAATTCGTAGATCGGACTCCGCACAAGACGCCGTTGACACCAATACAAATTCCGTAGTCATCCCTCGTCCCAAAACCAATATCCCTTATCTTTGCACGCCCGTTAGCCTCTTGAGCGTCACTTCTGCGCTTCTATACCATCTTCCCATTTCTTCGAGTCCATCGCTCTCTCCCTCTTCCTTCTTCCTCTGGATTTCCTGCGCCTGCGCTATGGCTTCTGTCTTCCGCCGTTCTAGAACGCCTAACTCGCGCTCCACCGCCTCGGCCTCTCTAGTTTTGCGGGGCAAGGCGTTTTGCACCGCGGCAAGTTGTCGATCAAGCGCCGCCAGCTCGGCCTCCCGCTCGGATAGAAGGCTCAGTGTGGCCGGTAGAGGTAAGTTCTGAGACGACGACGCATCCGCGTTAGTGACTTGTTTCGCCCGCAACTCTTCGATGGTTGATTCGAGATTCGAGATCGATTCCGGCAGCGTGGAAAGTTTAGTCAACTGTAATTGCACGTTTTTGTATCCTGCGCGTCCCGGAAGGATCGTAGTTAGACGTTTTCACATTCCCAGGCAGGCAAGCTTGCACAATACTTCGTTTGGCCTTTTATGAGCACTCACGATTTGCCAAGTCCCGACCCATCTTCTCCATCTCTGCAGTCATCGCCCGGACCTCTTCTTTCCTTGCACGCAGTTCTGCCTTCACCTCGGCCAGTTGCGTCTCGAGCTCGACGTTTTCATTGTGCCCCACGACCAACGGAGGATCACCGACGATCGCGCGCAGGAATTTCTCCTTTGTCACTTGCTCCACATACGAGAATCGTAGTTTCGAAAATAACTCCTTCAGAAAGACTGGTCAGTATACCACTCTCCTGCGCTAAATTTTCCGACTTTCACAATAGAATATATGAAGGGTTCGCACTTTGTAATGGCTGAGGTCCGCCTCCAATGAAGCAGGTGTCGGGCTATCGAGGGAAGAGACATCTGAGTTGCGCTTCGAAGGGGTAGTGGCATGGTTCTCAGATGTCGGAGAAAAGATCGGTTCGCTGATCCGTATGATATTCAGTTGCGTCTTCAAGTCGCCATTCTCCTGTTCCAGTTGCTGGAGTCGTTTTCGCACTTCGGCGGGGTTCGGGTCGGACATGTTTTATCGTGATCGTGATCGTGGAGATCTTGAGCAGGTAGGAGGTAAGTGACAGGACGTTTTCTGAGCCGAGTGGTTATAGATTGGTGAAAGTGTGTAGCTGACCGAAGAGGATTTGACAATCTAACGGCGGTTTTCTGCTACTGCGCGTCGGCAGAACATGCGGAGGTAAACAGTGGATTTCCATTCATGGTGCCCTTTTGTCGACCCACAATGCCTTATCGGGGCTGGGCGGTGAAGTCCGGTCTCCGCCGCCGCAATGGCCAGTATCGCCGCTCGTGGCTTCCTCCTGCAATCGGATCTTGCTTTTGGATTCACATCTGCAGGGTTCCAACTAAATTCAGGTTGCTCCCAAGTTAAGCTCCTAATACGCTATTGGTGAATGCGACTCCGACGTTTATCTATGTCTATTTAATCTCCCCTCCATCTGCCCCGCTCCCGAGGATAATGCAATTTCCCCCACTCATCAAATCTCCTGCATTCCCCACCGATAGCACCGTCTGATACCATGTCTTTCAATCCAGCGAGATCACTCGGCGCGCTCGACGACGATGACTATGTTGCCCAAGTCCTTGCGCGCGAGGCGCGCGATAGCTCCCTCAAGTACTCCGCACAGGGGTTGGAAGCATATATGCCACGAAGGTGAGTATCGATGGTCGCGCGCATACCGTTCTCTGGGGTTCAGGAGAGCAAGAACTAAAATACGAGTCCGACAGACCTACAGGCGCTGCCCCAAAACCAAACACTAGGTTTCTCCGGCATATTATCAAGGAGACGGACAGTCATAATGCGGCTTTGAAACGCAAGGAGGAGCGAGAGGCGCGGGAGCGGATGCGGCAGTTGAGAAATCCAGCGTCCGCTTCCACCCATGAGTCAAGCCGGGAGCATCGGCGGCGGCGCGATTATCCCTCAGACCACCGAGGTTCGCGGACGAAAAGCAGGGAAGAGCGCGAGGACCGACACAGCTCTCATCGGAGGAAACACGGGAGTCGTTCGAGGTCTACGGAACGTGATCGCACGCGCAGCGACCGGAGGAGGTACAAGGATGATGACGCCAAAGTCAGCCGCCATGATCATTCCCGAAGAAGTCGTCGACATCGATCATCCTCGCGGTCCAGGAGTCGATCCCCACGCATCAACCGAAACTCAAGCTCCAGAAGTGGTCGCAAAAGCTACCGTACGCGTGGTGACTCGCCGCCACGTTCCCGTTCCCGGTCCCACGAAAGGTCTGATAAGCGCGCAAATACAGACAGTGAGAGGAGGATTCACCCGAAGGACTATGATCGTCATAGCTCCAGAGGCCATCGAGCGTCGCGCGAGGACCCACCACGTCGTCGCCCATCAACAACTGGAGGCCAGCCATCGGACAGCGAATCGGATCCACTAGAGGATCTCGTTGGACCCCTACCACCGAAACAGGATGGGTCAAAGGAGTCAGCGCCGATTCGTTCGCGCGGTCGAGGTGCCTACAAACCCAATATGAGCAACATCGACGCCCATTTCGCACCCGATTATGACCCGGCCACAGACATGCAGCTCGAAGAGGACGATCTACAGTCCGGTAACAAGAACTCTCGCAGACACGTTGCCGGTCTCATGACCGGTGATGATGACTGGGATTATGCTTTGGAAGCTCTCCGTGATCGTGCTCGTTGGAAGCAGAAAGGCGAAGAGCGGCTCCGTGAAGCTGGGTTCAGCACGGATTTTGTGGAGCGGTGGAAAAACAACACTACCTCCAAGCCTGAGGATGACACCGATGGTCGACTGGAAAGTGTGAAATGGACCAAGAAAGGTGAGGGTCGGGAATGGGACCGCGGTAAATACGTGGATGAAGATGGACATATTGATGTAAAAGCCTCCTGGTAACCTCTGGGACTAATAGAGAATCGTCTTGGAATTTCCAGCGGCCGCAGCATTCTTGTGGATAAGCTATATCATAAAGACTATTACGGAGTACACTATCATGCAATGAAATCACATCACCATGCGCACATGCGGTCCGTCATGTGTGGGAATTCTCAGTCAACTATGACGGAAAATATAAATCAAGCGGCGCCCACTACTATGTACCGTGCATAAGCAGTAGACATATACTGTTGATAGCTGGGACAGATTTAAACTTAGCTCTACCTTTCAACCATAAGAAGGAGAAATGCTACACCCACAGCCCTAATAGTATCAGCTATAATCAGCCAGCCGAATATCATGGTCTTGATGGCTTGGGCTGTCTCGAACGCCTTGTGGATGCCGTGCCAAGATCTAAAACCCGACCAGTTCCGCGCGTTGGTCATGAGTGCGGAATTGGCGTCATGGCTTTGCAAAATCGGTCACTGATCGCCTCATCACAACGATTATTAAGTGGTTGGACAATGGGCTCACGTTCTTGCTAATTGAGATTATGATTGGTAATATAGATAGTTGCCCTTAGGGGAGACTTTGTAAAAGTCCTTAAAGATTAGATTCTCTCACCATCTGATAAGTATTCTGTAACCTTACTGTTGCTCGTTGGAAGTACATACCCGCCCGCCTGTCTGCCAGATAATCATCTGCTTAAGAACTAAAGTGTGAGTGTGTGAAGTCTGGTTCAAAGCATTGAGGAACAGGTTGAATTGATACTGAAGCACAGTCAACAACATTAACCCCACCGTATTGTTCAACATCACAACAGAGATGACGGATCAGTTTGCCTTTTCATACCCCTCCCCGCTCGAGGGATACGAGAACCTGGAGCCGCTCTCGGAGTAAGTTATCCTAGCCATCGCATATCCACGAAGGAATGCCTGGGGAACCTCTCCTGCACGACACAAGTACTGAGACTGCGGCCTAGTGAGCGAAACGAGGACGGCAAGTCCCTCAAGAACCCCCAGCATGGCGTCCTGAGCAAAGCATACGAGGAATTTCCGGATCCCCTCACCAAAGGCCGACGCGGAGGCTTCGACATACATATCTACCACTTTCAAGTGAGTTCCCATGATGACCCGGGTACAATACACCCAATCGCATATCCTCCAGATCTAATTTAGGCCGTCCTTCTCTAGAATGACCCCGACCAAGTCACTTTTGCCAAGGCACTCTGGGAAAGGATCCGACGTGAATGTAAGCTTGTTTTTCCCTAGTCCAGTCCAACTTCTGTATACCTCCGCACGTGGTCCCGAATGGCTACGCTACGGCTTGGGTCGCATACCATAGGGGGGGGGATCATGGGGTTCTTGAAACTTGACATTAATCCATGCGCAGTCCCCGAACTCCGAATCTACACGTTCTTCGATCGTCCCGTAGGACCGCATCCCGTGGCCATGTTCGAGGTCAATTTATTTACTCCGGCGCAGTTTGGGGCATTCGTGCCATGGCTGGTCATTAATCGGGGGCCGTTGAGCGCTCTGATCCACCCTAACACGGTGAAGACGGAGGAACTGCGTAATCATACCCAGCGTGCTACGTGGTTAGGCGAGCGGATTCCGTTGGATCTGCGGACTCTCAAGTTGATCACGGAGCAGGCGAAGAAGGAGGAATTGGGGAACTGAGGGAGGGGTGATGGTGGTGGTGAGGGTGGCGACTCTGAAGATCAAGATCATTCTCTCGACCGTGACTCGACTTTGTGTGCATAGCATAGCATAGCCTGGATGATTCGTTTTGTGACGGTTAATAAACCCAAGTATTTGACATTCTCAAAGCTGCATGGACTGAAGTGGGTTGGTTGATTGTCACCCGCGTCAAATCACTTGAGGGAGGGTGCCGGTGCCAAGAGTATTGGTCATCTGCATGGGCTTGCGTTTGTGAGGGCAGGCAGGGCTTGGTTGAAGATGGTGTCTTTTCCAAGAACATCGAAGCTGGGCATGCCAGGGTAAGAGGCCTTGCTACTGGCCATCATGAGATTCACGGGGTCCCAACCTCCTCACAAGCTGCAGGGTGTGACCTTGACGGCCACCCAGTCATCGTGCAAATTGGAATTTGCACGACCAGATGTGCCCTAGATCGAGCCCACCGGTCAATAGCAAAGCTCAGATGCCATTGACTCTGTATGATATGCTAGACCCTGGTCTCTCTGCAACCAGGGAGCAGGGCCCTGTAGCTTGATGATTTGGCAGTCTGAGGATGAAGCCAGCCTGACAGAACCCTGACTGTGAGCGCTTGACCTTGGAGCTGAAGACAAAAGCAACGAGTCGGACACCGAAACCATCGTCTTGTCGCAGGTGAGGCTGGAGAAAGGATGCAAAACTTGAATTCGCAAACTCCAGCGTATCAGGAGGTTAATTAAGACTTTGCAATTTGCAACCCCAGATGACACGGTGTGGTATGCGTCTGTTGTTGAATAGTGTACTCAACATTAAGTGACTTGAAGATCACATTGTCTTGCTAAGGTTGCGGAGGGCTGAGAAAGGAACCTTGTATTAGACTTGGAAGGCCTCTTAGTCCTCGAGTTCGAATACTGCATCGAAGCAGTAGCAGCTTTTCGCAACCATATAGGCTTTGTTTCTTCGGGTATGTCAACATGTTAGAACCGCTCTACCGGCTCTTTCTACTGGCCACGGAGAGTGTCGTGTCTGTCGCCTCGACTGCTCCCCTCACAGCAACTACGATCCCCGCGTATGTGATAGAATACGGTGAGTGAACGCTATGAAGCGAGTGCATGTGATCTGATTGGTTCCCACAGCACCTCTTGTATGGCTACACAGCCAAGATGTATACAGGCCTTCGGACATCGGTCAACAGCTCATACACACCATTCCCATGGTGAATTGGTCATCTATTCCAGAGTCACCGTCGCCCCCAACTCTAGATAACCTCGCATGCCTCAACAACGTGGGCAATACGAGCGTGTATCTCACGTCCAAGGAGGGAATCGATGCGGATCCTCAGCCATCGTGGTTCTATGGGGTAGATCCCGATATCTACGGTGTGACCGAAGGTGCTGTATCATCTACCATCATTGTTCACGATCATGGTGATGGAACCTTGGATGCCTTCTACTTTTACTTCTTTGCGTGAGTGACCAGATCAAGCGGAGGGGGTTGGTTTAACGGCTAACGAGTCTTGTAGGTATAACCAGGGCAACACGGTCTTGGGTATGCAATTCGGGAACCATGTCGGTGACTGGTAAAGACACCCGCCCCGTAGCTGATGGCTGCGAGACTCACAATGCAATAGGGAGCACAACATGATTCGATTCGAGAAGGGAGTTCCCAGATCGCTCTGGTATAGCCAGCACGCGGGTGGTCAGGCTTTCACCTATGAAGCCACAGAGAAGAAGGGAAAGCGACCCATCGCATATTCCGCAAATGGTACCCATGCTGTATATGCAATCGCTGGGTATGACTTCTCGATTTTTGTCTTTGAGCCAGGAGCTTATAGTATTCTCCGACAGGTCTCATGATCATACCATCCCCAACTTCAATCTTCCCACGGGATTGATAGTCGATTACACCGATCGCGGGGTTTTGTGGGATCCGACCCTCAATGGATATGCATATAGCTACGATGCAACAAACAAGAAGTTCCAGCCCTATGACTCCAAGTACCCGGTCAACTGGCTCGAATACAATGGTCAATGGGGGGACGATGCATTGCCGGGTGGACCGGAGCTTTTTGGGCAGGCCAAATACACCGGGGGCCCGAACGGTCCCAAATTCAAACACATCGTCCGATCCGAAGTGTGTCCGAAAAGCCCATGCCTAGTTCTCCCGTTCCGAATCTGGAGTGACGGCGAGACCACGAGCGAGCAGTGAATTTCTCGATATATCAGAGAACCTCTTATCTTCAGCAAAGCATCATGCGATTCCTAAATGATGACAACCGTAAGATCCGATGTTGGGGGAGAGAACGTGTGGGGCCTGGGGTGTGTCTTGCTCTGGATGCCGAGGGAGGGGAATTCTAGTGATCGGTATGGGGCCAACAATATGAGGATTGATTCGAAAAATATGCTGGCCAAAAGGCCCAGGGATCATCAATGTTAGCTTTCAATAATGAAAAACTTGAAAATCAAAGGTACTGAACTGAGGTACGGGATGCAGCCGGCCCGCTTCCCAATGCTGCGCTCCCTCCGGTCGCATTTAGTATCTCTGTGCTCCCATGTCCATGACTCAGGGGCTTGGTGAGGATTGCGTGAGTTCTTCTTAGCATGGTCAATGCAATGGAGACTGTTGGAACCGTCTGTTTGTCGAGTGTGATATGCCCTCTACCAATTAAAGCGAAAAGCAGACCAGGAAGTGAATCTACTGCTCTCATTAGTCCGGACCAGGCATCAAAACAGCATCCGCGGTCTCTGCCCACGTAAGACACGGGCAACTCGGAACGGAAAGTGACCCCCACCCCGCACTAGGAGAAAAGGGGCCACTCACTGTATGAGGCAGGTGCTGGCTGAACAGATAAGCCCCCAAGAATGGCCGAGGCTGATTCAGTCTTCAGGATTTTGACCTTCTCCCACGACTTTGGAGAATTTGACTACTAGGGACTGGGAGCCAGAGGTGCTGAGGGAAATGCTCAGAAAATCCGGGGAAAGGGGAAAGGGGAAAGGGGAAAAGTCACGATAAGAGGAATGTAGCCCAGATGCAAGAGATAAACAACCTAACGAGGAATGACAGGACAGTATCCACGTGTACTGACTGTACTTGGGGAGTTAGGACCACCGCCTGATCGTCAGTCGAACGTGCAGGATGGTCAATACGAGGGGTATCGGAGACGTATTGAACGGCAACCATATCTGCTCCAATTCGCGATTCGATCGGTGCTCGCTGCATGAACGTTAAAAATTAATCCACATTGAATATGCTTCGATTAATCTTTGCGAGATAAATCAGCCATCTTAGCGCGACGTATGCTGTTCTCTCAGCATTCCAATTGCGAAGGAATCACAGTCAATAATAGAGCTTCATTCCTTGTGAGCCTGGAGTTTTTCTCCAGTTACGGAGACTGTACAGTACAGTACACTCATTTCCGGGTAATAGAAGCTCACCACTGCAGGCGTCTGAAAACTGTGGTCGTACAACATCAGAGTTCTTAGGTAGGAGAGAACCTTGAAGAGACAGGTACAGTACTAACTTAATTAGCTGTAATCAATCAAACGGCTCGCCCCTCTAGCATCCATCCAATGCAAAGCTAAAACCCCAACAGCCTGCCCTAGCAAAGCAACCCAGTGCTCACTAACCCCAAATTGCACTAGACCAGCTTACACTGCTGAGACTCGAGAGGCAGAGAGTCTGGAAGAGACCGAGCTTCGCTACCGCTTTGCCCCTGAATTTCCTCCGGCTCAAAAGCTTCTCAAGCTTCTCCCCGCCTTTGTAGACGTGCAAAAGTACCTAGAAAAAAAGACGAAAACAAATTTGGAATAAAGAAAGGGAAAAAAAAAAAAAGTAACGTGGGAAGCAAACCGACACAAAATAATTGGTTCCGATTCTCACAAACAAGACAGACTTCAGGCAGGTCCAAAAGTCCAGTTGTCCTGGAGAAAGGCAAACGTGCTGCAAGTCTGCACTGCAGTGTATCTGTCAGTCGAGCTTCTGTTCTGCGAAGCAGAAGGTTCAGTCCGACGACATCAGCCCAGTCCGGATAAAGACAGCATCGCCTTTGTCCAATCTCACTGGCCGATCATCATCTATTCTCAGCTCCATCATCCTTTGCGCCGCTCTTCTCGGTCTCGGGCCCAATCCTTCCTATCCTTTTGTGTCCCCTTTCCCTTCTTCTCATTTTGTTCCCGTTTCAGTTGTATGCGCCGCTTTAGTCGGACGCTGTTGAGCAGGCATCGCTGTCAAAGATTCCCTGGTGAACCGCAGTGCTGACGTATTTGCTTGCTGGCCTTCGTTTTCATTTTGCTTGCTGTACAGTACACTCGCGGTAGCAAGGTCTTTCATTTCGACGATCCACCTGCTGGGCTTGTGCGAGTCGATTGGAATAAACATTTGGTCGCTCGACTTTTCGTTTCATTTCGGGTCAAGCGCTTGCGCAGACATCTGATAATTGTGTCGGTTCTCTCTGCTCTCTTCTTCTAGTCCGTTGTCCATCGTTTGGCGAAGACGAGTCAGTGCAAGCGAGATTAGAAGAAAAGCGAAGCCACTGGAGCAAATCAGGTACGTCAATCATCTCGCAACCCGTGGACAGGAGTCCGTTGAAAACAATGAGTCTTCCGGTCAGGGGGTGCAGCGCATATTATACCGTGCCATAACACCGCTTTAAGAATTCAACAACTGACTGCAATTCACCACCCCTCTAGCTGAATTTACCCTTTGGATCCTTCGGGGCTCTAGACTAGATTGAGCTGAGAGCAAATTCGGGATTGCTAAAGTGAATGAATGATTACTGACTATATCTGAGACACGCATCATTCCCAGTGACCCCACTTCTGTTTGGCCACTTGCCCCCCCATTCGTGTTACAGCCAGTCAAGTGATAAGAGAAAGCAGAGGTGACCCAGAATAAAACCCAATGGCAAGCACATCAACAACACCCCGGACTCCGGTTCGGACTGACCCTTCCGCTGTCGCCGCAGAGACAAAGGATCAACGCAGAGCGTCATCTTTAAGCTTCCTTCGCCGCTCCAAATCGATTGAACTCTTGGGTGAGAGGAGACCGTCTGCAAGCAAAAGTGGCAAGAATATACCGACGGAAGCGGATTCTCACCCTCAACGCGCATCAATGCTATACCACCAACCTCCCCGTCTTCCAAGCTTGTCTCCAGCTCCAGTCCTGGACACTTTTGGCGGCGAAGCACCACGAGACACCACTGCAGCGCCTTCCACCCAGTCTCCCGTGCCCCGTCAGCAAAGTGTGTCCCGCAGTACGATGAGTACGCCAGTGAAGCCAGAGAGCAGCGATCCATACGCGCGCGCCGAAAGCATGGCAAACCGTGGACGTTATAGCTATGTAAGCAGCGCTGCAAGTTCTGTCAACAACCCGCGTCGTCTACGTCGTCGTAAAGATCCTACTCCATACAAGTAAGCTGTCATCAATCCGCGGATGTCTATCGGAATATTCTTACTGACCTGCGTCAGTGTTCTTGTTGTGGGCGCAGGGAATTCGGGCAAGACGTCGTTCCTCAAGTTTCTCAGAAAGTCCCTGGAGCTGCCTCCCAGCAAGCATTCCAATAGTCAGCCGAGTGGCCTGGAAGACCAAGATGGTCAATCGACAACAGGTGAAGGCTATACTTCCTCCTACCTTGAGACTGAAATCGACGGTGAGCGCGTAGGCCTTACTTTCTGGGACTCGCCGGGCTTGGAGAAGAATGTTGTTGATATCCAATTACGTGGTGTAACAGGCTTCTTGGAGAGCAAGTTCGAGGAAACCTTGAGGGAGGAAACGAAGGTCATTCGCTCGCCCAATGCCCGAGACACGCACATACACTGCACTTTCCTGATTCTCGACCCCGTACGCTTGGATCAGAACATTGCGGCCGCTGAAAGAGCAGCGCAAGGGACTCCAAGATCAACCGACTCGACCATAATTGGCATCCTAGATGAAAGACTGGATGTGCAAGTCCTACGAACCATGGTGGGAAAGACCACTGTCGTTCCCGTCATCAGCAAAGCCGACACAATCACTGCAGCGCACATGGCATACTTGAGGAAGGCAGTCTGGGAAAGTCTCAAAAAGGTCAACATAGATCCCTTGGAAATCCTGACTCTGGAAGATCAGGAAGAATATACTTCTTCAGAAAGCGGTGACGAGGAAGAGTCTGGAGATGATGAGGGAATCTCCAGGTCTTCCGCCCCATCCGAACCCAACCAGAACGCTCCTGAGTCCCAAGCCGTTCCCCAACTGCTTCCCTTCACCACTTTGTCTCCCGATCCATACTCGCTGAAGTCTGCAGATGAGCCCATTGGCCGCAAGTTTGCGTGGGGCTTTGCCGACCCATATAATCCAGAGCACTGCGATTTCCTCAAATTGAAGGAGGCTGTCTTTAATAACTGGCGGATCGAGCTTCGGGAAGCGAGTCGTGTGATCTGGTATGAAAGATGGAGAACCAGCCGGCTCAACCGTCATGTCGCCACGTCTCCTGCTCCTTCCAAAGACCTTGCGCAGAAGAAGGTATACGGTGGGAAGACTGGGCCCGATCTCCGTCGGTTTGAGTGATTCACTGCACTCTCGACAGTCGTTAAATATGGCTTGCATCCTGCTAAATTGTCTGAGATTTATCTACCGCCATCTTCTCATATTTGCTTGTTGCAGCCACAGCATTGGTTATTAACAACCTGATCTTGTGAACTGTTTTCCCTTGTTGATGATGCGAAGAGAGACCGCCGGCTTCTCGATTCAGCCGACATTGCCGATGAGAAATGCTGGGCCAAGGTCGCTCGCGTACACTATCTCACGTTCGATACTCTCTTTAAACCCCTCTACCTTTTGATGCGATATCAACCCCATGTTTTCACGTACCGGCGCTACTGCGGCACTTTCGACTAAGTACCCGACTGCTTGGTCATTCATCCTGGTTTTATTACCCATGTTGTCCACAAGTCATACCCAATTCCATTCCTTCTTTGTACTTCTGATGATCTTCTGGTCCCTTTATTTTAATCTGTCATGTCAAGCTACTTCCAGGACTTGTGGTGCTTGCCAAGGCTCCAGCACGTTTGTCTCATGCCTATTACTGTACTGAGATGGTTCGACGCGGTTATAGCGGGTAATGCATGCCAAACTCCGTGAACTTGGTTACTCGTTTCGGTAATAAGGCTGTGTGTAGATATTTCGGTGTCCAGGTATAGTTTTCTAGCCTAGTGTTGATGTCATCTCTGTCTGGGCGAAGATATCACTAACTACATGAATATGAATATGAATGCATGTACGGAGTACTTATTACTGTAAACAAGAACATCCCTCTCTTTTATTTTTTATTTTTTTTTCTTTTTTTCTTTTTTTTTTTTTTTCCCTGAAGATGAAGAGAACCAACCACCCGACCAAAAGTGGATCAGCCCAGCCCAGTTGAGTTGACGAGGAGCAAAGGACCAATCGTGGGCATGAGACCCTCCAAAGGCTCTAATGAATCAATGATACGAAGCGCTAGTCCCGGCAGACGCTTGAAGAGGGGGAGAGAGGGGAGAAGGCCCAGGCGGGTGGATTCCGGACCCCAAGCTCTCTTACGAACATGAGATGATGATTAGACTGCCGCCGCCCAGGGTGGACCAGCAATCAGCGTGGATGGTTTTCAAGGCTGCAGAAGACGGTGTGCGGCTCCAACGGGTCGCAGGCCACTCGATTGGAGGGCAACACTTCTCAGTCTTTAGTAGATAGTAGTAGTCTAGTCCTCCGTACCGAGTAGGTCCTACTGTCGCCGTGTCGCATGGTTGTTAACATTAACGGCGCGAAAAGCCAGCAACAAAGATGGACAAGCGCATCAGCCCTGCTGGTAGTAGTCTCTTGCCCTGGTTACACTTTTGTGTGTTTGTGTGTGTGTGTGCGTGCAGAAAAGGCAGACAAGGCGGTGCGCGCAGCCCCGCGGGCGATTACTCGCTCACTCACTCGCTCCTCATGCGGACGCGATTGACTTCAGCTGCTGTTGCTCAGCTGAACCCCCGGAACCCTTGATGATCACTCGCTGCAATTTACGCAGCCTTGCCCTCCATTTACGTTACTAGAGTCAAACACTGTCACCTAGTCTTACCTACATTTACCTAATCTCTCTTCTGAGTCTACTGCCCTTTTGACTCTCCGATCTGGTCCCCCGTTCCTGTCATCATATCCGCCCTTCCCAGTCGTTATTTTCTCGGTGCTCCACACTAGGCGATCGCACTTTTGAGACTCCGCCTATCTACTGGTACTTCATATCTACTGGTACTTCACTTGTTCGCACTTTGGTCTGCTATTTTGACCTTCTACTCTGACTCTCAACCTTGGTGGGACTCTTGTTCGCAAGCACTGATCTCTGATCACCGTCGCCACCGGTTCCTAGCTTCCTCATCCATGTCACTCCAGGTGGGCGACTCACGGTCGCGAGGCCGTTCCAAGTCTCCAGGCGGCCGTATCCGCGATCGTTCCAAGTCTCGCGACAGTCGACAGCCTCCGACCCTTGACCGCAATTATTTGTCTTCCGCTCCGGCGGATGGGAAGTTGAGGGCCAGATCCAGGAGCAGAGGTGCTGCGCCAGGTGACTTCTACCGGTTCAATTCTCGTTATGGCCCCTCTGATAGCCGGGATCCTTACTTAGGCATCGAGCACGGTCGAGACTACTACTACCAATCTGACTCGGGCGAAAGCAAAGGTGCAAAGCGCGACAGTAGATATTCCTCTTCCGCCCATCGCCGCGATGCGCGCTACGAGAGTTATTCGGAAAACTCGTACTCGGACTCGGAGGATGATGCGCTTGCTTACGGTGACCTTCCTGATGATGACCTGGAGCGAAGTTATTACGGCTACAAAGGCACAAGTCGCGCTGCGTCACCGCGCCATGGTGGTGCTATGATGTCCGGTGCACTCAATCCGAGTGTACCCCCGGGTGGTGCGTCATCACGCTCTGGGGGTGGCATCAAAGAGCAGGTTCCTGGTAGTCACCCTAGCTATGCCAGACCCGACCCTTTCAAATATGCTGCGCAATCTCAGCATCCTCACGCTCAACCTTCACATTACGGTGATCCTCTTGCTTCATCTACTGTACCATCTACATGGGCACCGATACCTGAGTGTGAGCAACCGGGGTTTGTACCTCCATTACCTCAGAGGCCCAATCAAGCAATGCCTGGTGCATTTCCAACCGGCTCTACTCAGCCTGAGATGCCTGCCACAACCGCTGCAGCCCCAATGCCCACGTACAGATATGTCGATCCAGGCTCGACACAGAACCCTTATGCACCGCAGAATGGTCGTCCGCTGTCGGTGTCTGCTGCCAATACATACGCAGCTGGAATGGGCTCTTCAGCCCATCAACGCTCCGCATCGAGTGATGCGGCAGTTAAGCCTTCATATGCTGCTCCAACCCCGTTTCAGTATGCGCAAGTTGATCCCAACGTGAAATACTCATCCAAAAGTGCCGCGCAAAATGCTACTAAGCCGGTCACGTATTCCGCGGCGCCTCAATACTCGAAGAGCGGCGGTACACAGGCAAATGATCCGCCCTACAGTGGAGTCAAATATACGGCTGCTCCTCAACTTCCTAAAACTCCGACCAGTCGTCAGGAAAGCGGTCCGCAGTATGTGGAGATTGCGCCTGGGAACCGAGGTGCTGGCCGACCTCATAGCCACTCCGTATCATCGGCCCATAATCTCACAGTTGCTGGCCCTGATCCGACCCAACGACCGGCCAGCCCGCTCCAGGAGCCGTACAAAGGGACTTACCAAAGTATATCACCGATGCCATCACCTATCGTCATTTCGTCACGGTACGATGATGACGTCTCAGACCTAGAGCTAGTGGGCACTAGTTCAGATGAGGGAAAGAGAGAACATAGACGCAAGAAGAGTAAGGACGAGAGGGAGTTGAAACCCGATCGTGTGAAACGGGAGAGTAGCCGAGTACGGCACGAGCGACATGCTTCCACCGAACCTGACGCTCTCGTCGTGATAGCCCCTAGTAGCGGTCGAAAACGTGTTACCTTCTACGATGCGGGTCCCGATGCCCTAGCCTTGCAACAGGCTCTATCGCATACGCGACATGTCGACAATAAGACCCTGATCAAAGTGCTGCCACACTTGACAAGCGATGAAATTCTGGATCTGCGCAAGGAGTACAAGAAGCACGTCAAAGTCCACGGAAAGGGAGTGAACCTGGCGAAGCACGTCAGACTGACTCTGGGCAACAGCGCTTTTGGTAAAGTATGCTATGCTACTGCTTTGGGGCGTTGGGAGTCCGAGGCCTATTGGGCAAATTGCTACTACCAGTCAAGTACATCTCGGCGTGAACTCTTGATTGAGTCTCTCTTCGGTCGGACAAATGGCGAAATCAGTGAGATCAAAGAATGCTTTCGGGATTCACGGTACTCGGATAGCCTGGAAAAGTGTATGAAAGCCGAACTAAAGGCAGATAAGTTCCGGTTGGCAGTCCTGCTTGCTCTCGAAGAGACTCGACAGAGCGAACGAGATCCACTTGATCCAGAACTTATTGAGCGAGATGTGCACGAGTTACATCGCGCTTTGGTTTCGCGCCATGGGGGTGAGACGGCGATGATCTATATCATCGTCCGGCGAAGCGACCCTCATCTTCGAGAAGTGCTACGCGCTTACGAGAAGGTCTACCAGCGCAATTTCGCTCGAGCCATGATGGAAAAGTCGCAAAATCTCGTCGTACGTTCACTATACCGCCGTTCAGGTTTCACTTCGCTAATCCATCTCACAGGGTGAGACACTTGCACATATACTGAACGGGGCAATCAATCGGCCCATGCGTGATGCTCTCCTTCTACACCAAGCGCTACGCGAATCACGTACGGGTAAGGAACGGTCTGAGCTCCTGATCTCACGACTGGTCCGGCTTCATTGGGAGCCACGACACCTGGAAAAGGTTAAGACCGAGTTCCGGCAGCGGTACCGCGAGCGACTGGAAGACGCCATTGCGGAAGAGGTATTGACAAGTAGTGGAGGTAGCGAATGGGGAGAATTTTGTATCGAGCTAGCTCGCAGCTCCAAGACTCTTGTTGGCCGCGGTTGAAAATTTGGGTGGCTTGGGGAAGGTTGCTCGTTGGATTGTTCTTGTTTCTTCCCGGAAGGGACAGTAGATACTAGTTCCCTTACTTCTGACGCGTGATGAATGATGATTATGATGGTGATGATGATGATGATGATACTCAAGCTGGTATATCCTTACTCAGGCATCTAATAATGGGGATCCTGTGCTCGTTGGCATTGTCTTCAAGACTGATGTTGAGATGATGTCTTTTGCTCATGGATACCTGGAACTGAGTGACCACTATGGCCGCGGCGGCAGACACAGATATATCGATATGCTTTTTGTAAACAAAGTATCCTCATGGAAGAAGAGACCTATCCCAACATGAGGAGGGAATGTTTTTTTCTCGTGGATGCATCAGAGGAAGGGGTGGTAGCACTGACTTATCCTGATAAAACCACAATCTTCTCTGCTTGATCGCAAATAATGTCTACCCTGACACAGAACTCAAGATCAGAATGCTCCAAGTCCGTGGTTTTCCAAGGTAAATAGGACCGAGTTGGACTCTCAAGTGCCTTTGGGGTTGGAGGAGGTAGTCACCGGTCATGTGTCAAGTAAGTTATATCACACGACGTATTGTTGGAGGGAGGGAGTGGAAGTTGCCGCAATATTAGGCTGAACGGAATTTCTCCGAAGGGGAAGATTGAAAGGTGGAGAAATGACGGAAGAATCTGGGGCGAGGGGGAAGAGTCTATTTTGCTCTCCAAGTGCTCAAAGTTGAGGAAGGATGAAAGAAAGAAAGAGTCTCGAGTTCAATCCAACTTTGCCGCTATCCGAGTCTTAAGTCGAACCAAACCATCAAACCATCCTTCCATCCTCGTCTTCCGCCTATCTCCGACCATGCAGCCATCCTGGTGGTTGACTGGGTCACACTGCATCATCCCCTGGATCTCATCTCCCTGTTCCAGTTAGTGTCAGCTCTCCCCCGGTTCCTGGACGCAGGGGGAATCCACTAACAAAAAGGTGGATGAGGGGAAATTTCCCCGAACTACTCGATTTCTCTTCTCCTTCACATGATGGCATCACCACCTTCGGTCACAATGCCCACTGAGCTATTAGACTTTCAACTACTAGAGAGCGTACTTCGGCGCATGCTGCACTATCGATTATCAGACGGACGGACGGACGAGAATCCAGTCTATCTTCGATATACCAGCCAAAGAGCAAGACCATGAACTGAAATGTCACGGGCATCGATCGCACTTTCTTCGGAGGTAATCTTACCTGCAGAGAACCGGCCCCCTTCAGATTTACTAAACTATTGAATGCTAGTCATGTATGAACCATGTCACTTCCTGCCGTTTTCAAACTGTCGTCTCCGTTCGCTGAAGAGAGGGATTCCTTCTCTCCGCGTCCATCTCCAATTATTCCTCGGGGATTCTACTTTCTACTCCACTGAAAGGCACCTTATTCATTTCGCTCGAGTTCTTGCCCCCTCTTCATCAAACTTACTGGCATCATGTGTCACCACTTCAATCTATCGTTTATCGTTTGTTCGAACTTATGATATCGTCACTCGTTCAAGTTTTCATCTGCAGAAGGTAGTCACCCGCCCCTGAAATGCTAAGAATTGGGCTTCAGTCTGACTGGCTCTCAGCACGACTACACTCGTTCGAGCCTCAGTCCAGGACTCACCTGGACCAAATTTCAAGCATTCCTCCATACAGCTTGATCACTTTATGCCGGGATTGCCGATTAGCTTCTGGCCTAAGGGGGTTCTGCAGTCCCAGTTCCGCATGAAAGAGAGCGGCCGAGACCAGATGCCTTAATTAAAGCTTGCATGGTAAGTTTTGGTCACATTCAGCCATGGCTTCCATGCCAGCGAGCTTCTCCATATTTGACACGGCGAAGAAAACTGGTCGGAAATTTGGATGTGCATGGGGTGGGGAGGAGGGAGCACTTCTCCTGGGGGACTGTGAGGTCAGACGACGGCTGAAGGCATTGCATCACGCATCTCTTGGTCTTTCGCTGAAACATGCTAGATTAATTGAGATTGACGCAATCTTCAGGACGTGTCTACCTTGAACCGCATCGCTCCTTCAAATACCCCCTCCCTTTCCGCTGGTATGCTGGCTCGATCCTGTGCTCAAACGTCCTTGACATTCCAGTGCAGCATTCCGGACTCCACATTCGCCATCATCGCTGCAAAATTTAATCTGTTTTGTCATTCCCTTTTTGCTGCGCGAGGAAACAGGCGGCTCTCATTTATAAGGAGGGCCATGCTCCTAGTCTGAGTACCCGCTGGCTAAATCACAATGACGCGGTTCATATTAGGGTTACTGGTGACGGTGTTGGTCTCCTTTGCAGGGGCTACATCCGTATTCTCTCCTGCTCGACCCCCAGCTTTACCTTTGGCAGTCAAGTCACCGTATCTGAGCACTTGGCTTGCTGCGGGGAGTGATGGAGGTAATGGAGGGTATCTGGCCGGGGAATGGCCCACGTTTTGGGCGTGAGTACTTCTTTATCCTGTATCGCTATGCAGTTTTCTTCAACCAACACGTGTGACTGACTGATTCTCAATCTGAAACAGTGGACAAATCAATGGTTGGGCTGGTATGGTTCGTGTCGATGGCATTACTTACACTTGGATGGGGTTGCCAGGAACTACTACAGTCAACCAGACTTCCTATGTTTACACGTCTACGAGAAGCATCTTTACCATGAATGTGGCCGACAAGGTGCAGATGAACATCACTTTCTTATCGCCCATTACGCCAAATGACTTGAAGAGACAATCGCTCGTTTTCTCTTACGTGGATGTGGAAATTGGATCGCTCGACGGCGCGTCTCATGACGTGCAAGTCTATGCAGATATCTCGGCGGGTAAGTAATTCTTGCAAGGGACGAAGTAAACTGGATCTGGTACATTTGGTTCCGGATAACTGACATGCAGTAGAATGGACTTCGGGAGACCGCACCGCAACTGCAACATGGGACTACGGAACCACCAGCAACAATGTCGCGTACCACAAGGTCAGCCGTCAAACCCAGCTTGCCTTCTCGGAGACGAGCGACCAGGCGGATTGGGGAGAGTGGTATTGGGCGACCGACGAGAACGAAAGCATGACCTATCAATCTGGTATAGATGTCGATGTCAGAGAGGCTTTCTCGGCAAACGGGACGTTAGGGAACTCTCAGGATGCCAACTACCGCGCAATCTCGACTAATTGGCCGGTGTTCGCGTTTGCCCACGATTTGGGGTCGATTGACTCTTCCGTTGGAGTATTGTTCTCCATCGGGCTGGCTCAAACCGATGCAATGCAGTATAATGGGACTGATAAGGGTTACGCACCTCTGCCATCGCTATGGACAAGCTATTTCAGTCATGGTCCTGAAGCTGTAAGTCCTGGCTGAAACACCACGGGTATTTCGAAAACTAACAATCCACGATCAAAGTTGGACTTTTTCCACAATGACTACGGAACCTCTTCTTCTCTCTCCACCGAGCTAGATGACAAGATTGCCGCCGACTCTCTAGCAGCAGCTGGTCAGGACTATTTGACGATCACTTCGCTCACGGTTCGGCAAGCATTCGGTGCAACACAGCTGTGTGGAACAATCGCAGATCCTTATCTTTTCATGAAGGAGATCTCTTCCGACGGGAACATCAACACTGTTGATGTCATATTCCCAGCCCATCCGATATTCCTATACACCAACCCAGAGCTTCTTGACCTCCTAATGAAGCCCCTTTACGAGTTTCAGGAATCTGGGAAGTATCCTAACTCTTATGCAATGCATGATATCGGCAGTAATTATCCCAATGCTACTGGCCATGCAGATGGCAAGGATGAGGCGATGCCCCTAGAAGAGTGCGGAAACATGGTTATCATGTCTTTGGCATACGCTCAGAGAGCCGGCAATACGTCCTACCTTGAAGCACATTACGACATGCTGAATGTATGGACAAGCTATCTGATCGAAGATGCTCTGTACCCGTCAAATCAGATTTCCACTGATGACTTTGCTGGAAGTCTAGCGTGCGTTTCCCGCGACTCGTTTGCAAGCAAATGCTGACTCAGTTTATAGCAACCAGACGAATTTGGCTTTGAAAGGAATTATTGGCATTGAGGCAATGGCCACTATCAGCAAGCAAACGGCTCACTCTTCTGATGCTTCAAACTATACAGCAATCTCTCACCGATATATCCGACAGTGGGAGAAGATTGGCATTGCGCACAATGCACACCCTGCCCATACAACGTTGTCGTATGGCGCAAACAACTCTCATGGTGCGTGAGGTCGGATTTCTACTCTCATATAATAAAGCCACTGACAATTCGAATCCATAGGTCTCTTGTACAACCTTTACGCCGACCGCGAGTTGGGACTGGACTTGGTGCCCAAGTCAGTCTACGAAATGCAGAGCGCATTCTATCCGACGGTACAAAACACGTACGGAGTACCGTTGGACACGCGACACACATATACCAAGGGTGAGGAGACTCGAAGATTATATGTTGACATCATTCTAAAGCATCATACAGGTGACTGGGAGCTGTTCGCTGCCGCCGTCGCGTCCACCAGCACGAGAGACATGTTCATCCAGCTCCTTGCCAACTGGATCAATGTTACTCCCACCAATCGAGCGCTTACGGATCTTTATGATACCACTACTGGGGAGTAAGTAGAGACCACTCTCTGTCCCTTGAGAATCATGCTAACATTTGTAGCTATCCATCGATCACCTTCATCGCCCGACCCGTTGTGGGCGGCGCCTTCGCCCTCTTACTCCTCAATCAGGGCAATTGAGTTACTCACCGTTATATATACCCATCTATTCTTGGTCTGTGCAACTGACCTGTTCTGTTCGAAGCCTTCTTTGGTTCCCTGGAGCGGACCAACCTTTTTCACCCATTCGTTCAGATGTGCCGGTCACTCGCTATGCATTTACTTTTGGAATTGTTTTATTGTTACCAGACCGTTGTGTGTATCTTTAGGCCAAGTTTATGCTTTCAATTGTCAGCCAGGTGGCGCAATTG